TGTCCATGCATGTGTCGATGTCTGTTGATGTTGATGCATGGTGTTGAGGTCTCGGGTCATTCTACCCTTCCGGCATGAGCCTACCCCGTGCAGTTCCGTCATCGTTTCATGAGATGAAAGCTTGTTGATGGGTTTACCTTCCTCATACGGAAACCTTTTGATTCCCATGCTGTGCACCCAAACCCTAGTTCCCACGCCACGCGATCCAAGAAGCCGATTAGGCACTGATACACAGAACGAGCCTCCATTCAGAGAAGATAGGCAACAACGTACAAGATATTAGATACATGCACGAAGGAATATGAATTCTAAAATTAATTATTATTAAAAGTGGTTAGTTTGTGATACTAAGACTATGTATCGTGACCTCGGTGCCTCGCTCGGTTGGATTCTATGTGCCACATAATGATGTGCAGCAAGATGACCCGAAACTTCTATTACGGGAAACTGCAACTTTGTACATGTAAATTATTGAATGATGAACCATAATGAGTCGAAATGAGTCGCAATGCATCCATAATGACTTGACAGGGAGGGAACCATCTGGAATCCTTGGAATTTAACGTAGTAAGCCCAAAGGGCGTCGGTGAGTTAGTCATGCATCATCGGCGAGATGAATCAGGTAAGCTCTAGCTGCCTGAACAAAGACCGGGGGAATACTTCGCGTCGCAGGGTGGTGATGATGCCTCAATGCCTGTGGAGAGGAGATTCGTCACACAGCTCCGTGCCCGAGTAAACTTCTCGCAGAACCTCCCTGCCTGCTGCATCGTCAGCACCCCATTCTAGCCGCTGCTCGATCCGTCGCCTCTCCTTCTGCAATATGTCGGTTGGCAGACCTTGTCCTAGCTGAAGGAGGTCTAGGAGGTTGGTGATAAGCACGCTGGGGACAGGGGCGTCGATGAAGGCGTTGCGGAGGCACTCGAGCCGAGATTCCCAGTCGACGCTCTCACCATCCCAGTGAAACGCCCACCCCGCCCGTCGGAGCCAGAAAAGCCGGCGTAGCTGCTCTTCATCCCAGGGCCCGGTGATGAGTGACCGGGGGGCTCGGAACTCGGGGTGGACGTCACACTGGGCCCAGCACTCGACGTCCTTGACAGGCTCCCAGCTCGAGACTACCTCGTAGTCGGCTTCGAAGCACTGGCGGGCGTTGAATTCGCCCTTGTGGCCTTGGATGGGGTGGTCGGAGGTGTGCGTAAGGGGGTTCTTTTCCGTGTCGTGCTTCGGAAGGCAATGCTCAATGTACCGGTCCTTGGCGTGTGTATCGGCCCACGTCTGCTGGGCCTGAAGGATAAAATCAATTTTAACCCAAGGGAGTTCGAAAACCTCGGACTATTGGGCAATGTTAGGAAAAGGGACTTTATATCATGACAACCGCAGAAGGCCGACGAACCTGAAGTCGGGGATCGCCACCAACATCATCTCTTGATGTATTGCAGTTCACAGGAATCCCGAGCCAATCGATCCAAGTGTCGTGGAATGTCCACATAAAATGCCTAAGGAGGGTAGCACGGCCGGATAGCTTTGCACCGATAATAGGGGAAGATCGCGGCAGGGATAAGCTGGCGCTGTAGAGAAAGATAATCTCCAGGACCTCGGCAGGTAGAGACTGCAAAGTTGGACGTCCACGAAGGGACCGTGTGGCGAGGACATTAGAGAGTGAGCGTTTCATCTTTTTGGGACTTGGTCCGTTGCCGTCTATCGAAGGGTTGGGGCGTAACTTGGATGACTTGATTCTAGAGGGAGCTTTGCGTTTGCCTCGAATACGAACTGGGGTAAGGACCATATCGAGGAGGTAGTTTTTGGAAATCCAGATGCCGATACGAAAACGTAGACCTGAATGGCGTTGATGATAGTACAGTTGGTAGTTGGGCTGAGACAAGGACTGGACGAATGGTTTAGAATGTAGTACTAGATAGAGAAAACTTGTGCCGGATCCTCTGGATGGAATTGCTTTATCTCAGTCGAGGAGAGATCTTTTGTACAAGAAAGATTGGAATCCGTAGATTTGCAATCCAGTTGATATGAGGTTGATAAAGAAATCTGAGATGGTATGGGAGGTCCAAGTAGACGTTGATATGGAGGCCCTTTAAGCTTGAGCATAAGATATCAGACGGTAAATCCTAGACTTAATCCTTAGATGATGAACATTAAAACATTTGATGAATCTTACCTCGACCATTTCTCAGTCTCTGGGTTATCGTGGTTCGCCCGGTCCAACTGCCATCGAGTTGAGCGGCGAATCGAAATGCAAATGGCACGTGCGCGACCCCAGAATCGCAATGTAAAAATTCGGGTTGCCTCCAAAACTTCCAACGGCTTGGTTCGGATGACTAAGGAAAATCAACCTCCAACTTTTGCTATCCACGACGATAACTGGTCGGGGGAAACTCTCCAACTCGACGACCTCAACGCCAATCGCCAATGCTTGCGTGAGTCGATTGACAGCGCGGATTCCCTCAGAGATGTCAACTCTGCGCCCGGTCCCCTCTCGAAGCCTGCTGCGATTCCTACGGTACCAGTCCAAGAGGGCCTTTGCAACTCATGGCCCAGAAGCGATAGCCGGCCCGGTCCTGTGTCGCCGGGCTCGATCCTCGAATCTTGCGACACGAAGACAGTCTAGGACGATCGCTACGACTTGCGAGCGACGTACTGCAACATTGGAAGCTTCGTTCCTCAACCTCGAGCCGATCCTGCGAAGACTCAAGAGCCAAGACCAGCAGCAGTTGACGTTGACGAGATGCAACTTTAGTACCTCACGCAATGTCAGCTGGTTCAAATGGGGTCGATCCACGGCGAGTTCTACACCGAAGTGGCATGAGCGACTATGGGGGATCACAGGCCGAAAGGGGGAAAAATCCCTAAAGCCCGATGATCTTCCTAGCCATGATGAATACAGCGACGGCTCGTCGATATTCAACAGTCGTCGAACCATGGCTGCCAAGGCAGCGTCCGAGCCGCGACTGCGCTGCACAGAAGTGGACGAGAATGGCAACGTGATCCTGGTGGATGGCGAGTTCAAGAAGACGGAGCTCATCGCCAAGGTATGTCGCTGCAACCCCGCGATCGATATTCGATGAGATGTTAATGATGCTTGTTACCAGTATGGTCTACTGCCACGAGACTTGCGAAAGATTGACTCGTCGAATCTTCCTCATATCCTCATCCGTCCGTCGGCCATCCTGCTTAACCTTCTGCACCTGAAGGTCCTCATCAAGCATGATCGTGTACTTCTCTTCGATGTCTACGGTTCGAAAACCTCATACCCCCAATCGGCCTTCATGTACGACCTGCAAGGCAAATTGCAGCAGAAGAACACACAAGGATCGGGCTCGCTGCCCTACGAGTTCCGGGCGCTGGAAGCCGTCTTGACCTCAGTGACGTCAGAGCTCGAGGCCGACTTTGAGGCGGTTCGCGAGCCGGTCATGCACATTCTCAGCGAGCTCGAGGATGATATCGACCGGCAGAAGCTGCGTGTGCTTCTCATTCTGTCCAAGAGGGTTAGCACCTTTGAGCAAAAGGCCAAGCTGGTCCGAGATGCCATTGAGGATCTCCTCGAGGCGGATGATGACCTTGCAGCCATGTACTTGACGGAGAAGGCGCACGATCTTTACAGGGGAATGGATGATCACACTGAGGTTGAAATGCTACTCGAGTCATACCACAAGTTGACGGACGAAATCGTCCAAGAGGCAGGAAACCTCGTTTCGGGTATTCGAAATACGGAAGACCTGTAAGCATTATGCTCCATCTTCACATATAGTGTTGTTAACAATTACAGTGTTCGTGCCATTCTGGATGCTAACCGAAACGCCCTCATGCTCCTCGAGATCAAGTTCAGCGTTGGAACACTGGGTCTTGCCATGGGAACCTTCCTCGCTGGTCTCTACGGCATGAACTTGGAGAACTTTATCGAAGATACGCACTGGGGCTTCGGAAGTGTCACCAGCATCTCGGTCATCTTCTCGCTCATCGTGTGCTGGTACGGCCTGACCAAACTGCGCCGTGTACAGCGCATCAAGATGATGGATGACGAACGACCACGGATCCCGCGAGGCCAGGTCTACTTCCCTGATGACCGGTCAGCGTTGGGACTCCTGGATAACAGAAACCGCGAGATGTTGCGGAGGATCAACATGCAAAAGGCCATGTCGGCAAAGAAGCGGTGGTTTTAAAACGTCTTGTATATTAGAAATTGGGCGTTATTGGACTTCTCAACGGCACAAAACACCGCCACATGTACAAAAATACCTAGAGAGATAGCCCCTTGATACCAGATACCTACTCATCTCAATGAGGTTGGAGTTTTTAGCAGAATATACCAAATGCGGAAACGACACACACAACGTTGAGCAACCGTCATGGCTGCAAGCTCGGGAACTCGAACCAATGAGGCCAGCGGTGCGGAAACATGGGATGCCCTGTTCCCGACGCGTCTTCTCCATGGGGATTCTTGATCGCCGCGGTGACACAACCGTCTATGATGATTGATCTCATCATGACTTTGTGACGTCACACTTCCCGTTGTACTCCCACACGTTGATCAAACAAGGTCACGTCGAACGACTAAAAGGAGTAAAACGAGGATCCACTTGCAGGGGAGCCTCCTGGTCGATTCAATGTCCCTGACGTCGCAGACGCAACCTCAAAAGCACAAACGGAATTAACAGAAAAAAAAAAAAGGGCTACGGCGGCTGAAGGATGCACAATGGCCTTGATTTTGGGACATTGGTGCCAGCCACACGGCGAGCCGCGTACGTCATGGACGCCACACATCTGACCAATTGCAGCTCTTGAATGATGCATTAGCCACAGGATTGAAAGGTACACTTGTGGCTGGAGGTCATGAGGTGAAGGATCGAGATGGGTGAACCTGACGTCAGGAAAGAAATTCTTAGATGAAAGGGGGGGAAACATGGATGGCAGGCACGAACATGGGGGCAGGTTCTTTGTATATAAGGATGCAGGGGAACCTGAGGGGGGAAGAGGAAGAACCATACCAACTCATCACTCAAAAGACAACGCATAAACCGACAACACAACAACAAACAAAACATCAATTTCTTCCATTTCCACCTAAGACAACTCTTTTTACGAAAGCAACCACCAAAAGACACCTAAAACAAAAACCCTCTACAAATCCTTCACAATGGGTGGCATCATGTCTTGTGTACGTCCAGCCACACTGCACCGCCTCACACAACGCTAACATTCTACTCTTCCAGATCCGCTCCGTCTTCCAGACCATCGGCGACGCCATCATGGCCGTAATCAGCGGCATCGGCAACATCATCCACGCCCTCATCAGCGCCGTCGTCCGCTTCTGCGGCATCATTGTCAGCTTCTTGACCTGTGGCTACTGCGGTAGCCGTTCCGGACGAGCTCGCCGACGCACCGGTCGACACATGCGGACGACGAGGGTCTAGGGGAGGAAGATTCCTATTGTGAAGAGGATCTGAGGAGAAAGATTGCGACACGGGGAGAGCGAGTTTGGAGAGATTCATCATGAAACGGCCGACTGGTTTTCCTTTTTGTATGATTGCGTTAGCATAGGATACCCAATCCACCTTGTTCTGTTAAACATCCATGTCTTTCAAGTGTCGTGTATAAGTGACTACATCCGTCTTGTTGATGTTGGTCAATATTCTGACCAAAGGCACTGCACCTACATGGGATAATCCGTTTGATCAAATATTTACAACTGACAGCAGCCATAGATTATTGGGTATCTTGTATTCTGGTTCTACCTAGTCATCCTCTTCCATGACATTCCGGTTAAAGAAGCCATGAATCTGTCGTCCAGCCGTCTTGCCCACCAACGGTTCCAACTCCTTCTCCGTCATGTTGGCCACCTCACGAATGCTCTCTGTCTCGAGCACCAAGCTCTTGATGTTCTGGGGCGTCACACCAGGCACAATGGCGAGCATATCCTGTGGTTCCTGGTTGAACGCCTGATCCTCGGCGCGTGCATCCTTATCCAGACCGGCCCTGACTGCCGCGATTGGATCTGGCTCTTCCTCCTGCGTCTTGAGCAGCTCAAAGATCTCGGCTGTCTGATAGGGAGACGAAGACCAGATGATGCGGAGCTTTGGGAAGGCTAGTGTGAGTAGCACTAGCTTGGATTGAAGGTCTGAAGACATGTTGGTTGGAGCAACACTGTTCAGGCTGCCTGAGAGGTCGGCGAACGGCTCAAGAGTAAATGACTTGTTTTGGTCAAACTCGATCAGGAGCATTGGACTCTTGTAATGCTGGAACATAGTCTCGGCCTGTGTGTACAGTCGACCGTCCTTGAATGACGAGATCAAGTCGCTAATGGACTTTCGCTCCACACAGATGCTGGGAGAGAGGATGTAGTCGCCAACTGTGAGCATACATGGCACAATGATCATGGATCGTCCGTGAAGTAGTGACGGCAACGAAGAGCGGAACTCTCGCACATCCACAACCACTCGCGGTGGCTCCGCTGTTGCTGCTAGCCTGCCACCACCAGCGATTCTCGTATTGACAGTTCGTAAGAATGCCTCCTCAGGATCTTCAGCGGGATCAACTGTCATGACTAGTGACATGCTCGCTCTCTCCTTGATGAGTTTGGTAAAGGCATCCTTTTCCCGGCGGACTGACGAAAGGTATTTCTGTTCTTCGACTGAACCACCGTAGTACATGAAGTAAACTCTGACGTTCCGGTCATTGTGTGACGACCGGTATACCTCGACTCGTCGGATAAAGGCTGCATCTGGCTCGTACATGATGATGTACCGTGGTTTGACTTCCTCGAGGACGTGTTCATCCTGGTCTCCGTCATAGGCGTGGGCGACAATAAGATCTTGCATGTCGTACAGCTGAAAGTAATCCTCCATGTTGTCGAGAGGGTCCGCAATAACTTCCTCCTTTTGCTGTGCCTCCTCTTCTGTTAGCTGGACCTCGGCCATGAGATCAGCGACTTCTCCTGGCTTTTCAATGTACTGCATGATACTACCATTCTCTGCCCGACCCATCGAGGGGCCGACATTGCCTCCGCCGCGCATCCGTCTTCTCTTGTTCGCTGGTGCTTTTCCGCCCCTGTGACCGCCCATACCTGGACGAGAGTCTGTAGCACCATTTAGAGCCTTTTGATTCTCAGCAAATAGAGTCGCGCTGACTTGGGCAAACTGCCTCTTCCACCTAAGATAGTTTCGCAGTCGCCTTCGCATCATGAACGCGGCAGAGGGCTTATCTGCGTCCTCTTCATCATCATCTGGCTTCTTTTCTGTCTTGGGCTTGACATGCATTGTCTGTAGAAAGTCTCGTAGTTGCCTGCAGGTGTCTGTGTCGGAGCACATGATGAGAATGCTGCCGTTGGAATCGTCCTTGACGGGAGGTTCGAAATACAGATCGCGATCGATCTCTTCCAGGACTTCGGCTAAGAGCGACCACTTGGGAAGTTCTTCAAGGACTGGCCGAAGGGAATCAATATTGGATTCTCGGGCGGCGTCTTTTGCTGTGGCTGAGTAGACACGTCGTCTTGCCGTGTCAAAGATGGTTTGTGCAGCGTCAAGGAACAACCAAGGTGATTGTGTCTGTCGAGTTGACCCCGGGGGAGGAGAGTGCGCAGCGTGGATGGTATCCAGATGCTGAAGAAACGAGACGGCGTCATAGGTCAGGATTGAGTTGAGCATGGTTCTGAGCACTGTCAAATCGTTGACAATCTGCTTGGTTTTCCAGCTGACACGATGCCAATTGGGATCTAATTGTCGTCGAACCATGACATCAAAGTTCTTGAGAAGGGCACTGTCGAGGTTCCAGTCGTCCATTTCCAGGCCGCTGTTACCCTTCTTGAGCTCGTGAATGCTGACTTCGACGCATTCCATGATGGCGTTTTGGATCTCCCTCATTGAATCCGTCATGGGGACTTCAAGCTCGATGACCTCAGCCTTCTTCTTTCCCTCCAGAGACTGCGCAACCGTGACGTGAAACCTAGGCCAGAGCGAGGCTTTTCGAAGGAAAAGATTCCTCATCATGGTGGCCAGAGGCGAAAAGCCCGTGGTGAAAGGATCGGGATTGTCGGAAAAGGCCTTGAGGAAGCCGACCTTGTTCTTCTGCCGGTAGACTCTGAGAATGAAGGCTTCGAGGGAGGTTGCGACAACGCGATCGGCGTGAAGTAAGACAAGGCCAGTGATGGACTCGGGGTTCAGCAAGCTCGTCAAGAGATCGACTACTAGAATGCGTGACGTGATACTGAAGATACCACCGCCAGCATACATCTTTTCTCTTGCGCCGACGCTCTGAAGATCGGTGTTGACCACAGTCAAGCCGCGCGCCTTGGGGGACATGCTGATGGCGGCATGTTCAGCCAATGCCTCTCCAATCCAACCATTTTCTCGATCATCGGCTCCGACGATCACTATCAAGTTGTTTCCGGCCGCATCGTACGAGTGGAGGAGGTTGTTGATCAGGCGCATCAGCCCGAGGCCGCGGGCGAGAACGACGAGCTCATCTTCGGCTCGGAGCTCCTGGAACAGGTTCTGCTGGTACTCCTTGGGAATGGTCAGCTCGGGGCCGGTGGCGGGAGGCTATAGGCAACTTGCGAGCGGAAGTGAGAGCTTCACTGGTTGGGGGGCATTGCTTGCAGACATGCGGGCCACCCGAGTGTTGGTGCTGGTGGTGGAATAGGTGTTGAAGGTGGGAAAGATGGCTGGCGTGAATGGCGATCTTGGTGGGGAGGATCTAGGCTGCGACAGGGACCAGCCATGATCGGAACAAGGTGAATGGAAGGCCTCAAGGCATGATATGGCAGTATTCAAAGCTAGCATCTATTTAATACATATTAAGAAGTTATATAACACTTGGTATTATTATCGCCAACTTGATGGAGTTATGGTTGTAGAGCCTTTGCACAGAGCCAAGCATTTACCCCAGCTTTTACTTGACAAGGATGGGATACTTCTTTACTCCGTAAACTGAGAGTCATCTAGAGAACGATTCGGATTCATATTGTAACAAACCGACACTCTAGCCCGTTGAATTCCTTGAACCTGGCTTCCAGTCATACGTCAGACCTCGTGAGTGGAAAGATGATCTGCTGCGAATGACTTGCATGAATGTCGAAACATGACTTCAACAGATCTCCGTTCACAGATAACGGGCGTCCTGTCAAAAGCTGGCTAAAAACTGCGATTGGTGAATCCGTAGATGATTTTCTCTCCGAAGAACGCTACCAAGATCAAGCTTGTTCAAGACCTTGGTTTGGCCGTCTCACAGTGATGCCCACTTACATTCTTCACACCACAATCTCGAGGCCACCACGTCATGGTACGATGCGTCAAGTTCGGCATCGACGCTCTTCTGCAGGAAATAACCAATTAGCGAGGTTCCCCAATCTCTTGTGACACTCCTGCAGGCCCCCTAACGGCTTGCGTTTCTTCCCGTCGCGATCTGATTCACGCTGGCGCTACAGGCCGTCTTACGTAGTTTGCGTTTTGGTGAGCCAGTGGGAGGGGAGACGACGTCATCGCCCGTCGCGGCCATGATGCGGTTGCCGACTACAAATAGGACGAAAGTATCCAACTTGTTGACAATACTTCAGATCAAGACAACAAAAACTTCTACAAAGACAATAACCTACTCTCAATACAACAATCTTCCCAAACAAACCATCAAAATGACCGGCACCGAGCAGCAGAACGAGGTTAGCTCTCCCAAGTCTCACACTTCACCAACTCATGACTGACACACACTGCCACAGGGCGAGAAGCAGTTCTCCATCCAGCCCATCAAGGACGAGGTCAAGGACAAGGTGTCTGCCTTTAACGCGCACCCCGGACCCGCCGTTCCCAAGGATATGCCCCAAGAAGAGGGAACCAAGGAAGAGCGCAAGGCCAAGATGGAGGCTCTGAACAAGAAATAAGCAAAGCAGCATTCGCTTGCCGACACGACTGTACGACTAGACATGGGAACTTGCACCAGACATGATATAATATGACACAAGAATTTCTCTTCCTCCGCATGAATGTCCGCAATCTTCAGTTACATGTAATCTCATGCTCGTATACGTATCCGATAGCTTTGTTTGACGGCACTCTCGGAGCTTCATCTTCAGGCTGACGCGCAGTCAATTCCATCTTTCCCCCCTAAATGCTGCTCCACTGAACCCACAGTTGGCGGCTATCTTGGTGGTAATCTGTGGCTGCCCAACAATTGTGCCCATGTACGGAGAAATTTCTAGAACCCTGCTTGTGGCTGAATCTGCGACTCGTCACGACTGAGTGCAACTAAATGTCTTATTGTTCGACCAAATATCGCTGAAGAATCAATCCTCGAAGCTCCATTCCCGCTAAAAAGCAAATCTGTCGTTTCCTGCAAAAGGACGTAGGCTGCCCCGCTCAGAGGCTTGGCAAGTGGCTGTGCAAGCGCTTCTTTCGTCTTTCCTTTCACCAGCGGCTGTGGCTGGTGCCCGCTCTCCGACTCTTCTTACGCCTCATCAAGCGCCGCCCGGCCAGCCTGGTTCCCCACGGACCGACACTTTGACATCCATGCGACGTCGTCTATCCGTGCTCCTCTTCCACGCCATTTGAGACGGACCCTCTCTTCTAAGCCCGAAAGCTCGGGCGCTGTTTGCACATTCTATTCTCTCTCTTTGTCCGCCGCCTGGAATCTTTGGGCCTACTTCCCACCCCCAGAATTCGGCTGCCTCACGCGAGCGCCAAGCGACTCACTCTGACCAGACGCCGAAAGAGGAGACCGACTAAGCGCCACTCCACGCGTCCAGTTCAGGCGACAACTTGACGGCTTCGTCTCTTCCCTTCGCTCATACTCTTTCTTGCCCGTACATCCTCGAGATATCGGTGCCGAGACGTCGAATCGACCCGAATCCTTTTCTCCGCCCCCCTCGAGCACGACGTCACAATGCCGTCCATCCTCAGCGACGACGACAAGGACACCGTCAAGCGGATCGTGCCCAAGCAGTCTAACAAGATTCAGGCAGTGGCCGTTGCTAGACTCTACGTCGCTTACCCCAATCGCTCAAAATGGACCTATACCGGACTGCAGGGAGCTATCGTGCTCGCCAACGACCTGGTTGGGCATACCTACTGGTTGAAGCTGGTTGACATTTCGGTATGCCCCTTTGGCCTACCTCGCCACCTCTCTCATCAGTCCGCTAACCTATTCAGCCCTCCAATCGAGGAGTCATTTGGGATCAGGAAATCTTTGATACGTGGCACTACAACCAGGACCGAACCTTTTTCCATACTTTCGAACTGGAGGAGTGTCTAGCTGCTCTAAGCTTCGTCGATGAAAAGGAGGCCAAGCAGTTCAAGAAGAAGATGGACGAGCGCGAGAAGAATGCGAGCCGATCTACCAAGTCTACACCCTTTGGAGGAGGTGCCCAGCCTACTCACAAGCACGGCATCCTGGGGGGTCTTTTTGGTCACCGCCATTCCTCTCATTCCCACAACACGGCCCCGACCCCTCCAGAGTCTCCACGAATGACCTCGAACCCCGTCCAGCATCATGTTGTCAACTCCACGGGAAGCATCAATGGCGTCAAGCCATCCGAGTTTGCGCTCCTCGACGCTTTTGATCCTCTTTGGCGGGAGCATTTTGGTGCCGATCTTCAGGAAAAGGGGTTGACCGACGACTTTATCAAAGAGAACCAGGAGTTTATCGTCGACTTCTTGAGGGAGGAGCAGCAGAAGCTGAACCAACCGCATTCGACGCCGCCACCACCACCTCCTCCTCCTGCGTCGGCACCTACCAACGGAAATGATGGACGCGGCTCACGAGCTCCACCGCCTCCGCCCCCGGCCGGACGCAATCATTCTCCTCCTGCGCCTCCGGCTCCGAGAAAAGGCGGGCCCCCACCTCCGCCGGCTCCGCGACGATCCGGCAAGGCGGAGTCTCCTGCACCTGAAAGGCCGGCGTCACCTCCCCGACCCAAATTCAGCGTTCCTCCGCCATTGGCCGATGCCGGCAAGTTCTCGCGTCCAGAGCCTCCGAAACCAGTTGCTGCGGCCCCCAACCCTGGACCACCACCGCCTCCTCGGCCGGCCAAGACGCCGCTCGACCCGCAGAAGAACGACGGCCACAAGTTTGGCGTTCCTCCCCCCTTCGCCGGCGCCAGAGTTCCTCCCCCGACACCCAGCCGTGGACCAGTCCCCCCTCCGCCTCCCCCGCGTGGAAACGACTCTCACGCTGCGCCTGCGGCTCTTCCTCCACCTCTACCACCAAAGGTGCCGGCATCTGGAGCTCCACCGCTGCCTCCTCCGAGCTCGCGTCCCGTACCCCCTCCCCCGGCCGCCAGCAGTCATCCTCCCCTTCCACCACCTCTACCCCCGACAAACAATGTGCCTCCGCCTTTGCCTCCTACCAGCGGCGCTCCTCCTCCCCCTCCGCTACCCCCGACAAGTGGTGCTCCTCCACCCCCTCCTCTGCCGCCAACTTCAGCTGGTGCACCTCCTCCTCCTCCTCCTCCTCCACCGCCCCCGGGAATGTCTGGTGCACCTCCGCCGCCACCTCCACCTCCCATGCCCCCGATGGGCGGCGCGCCTCCTCCACCCCCTCCCATGCCCAACCGCGATTCTGGATACTCATCAGGTGTCCCAGCGCCAGCTCTGCCATCGGGAGATACTGGCCGGTCAGCCATGCTGGGAGATATCCAGCGAGCGGGTGGTATCGCCTCGCTTAAGAAGGTTGATCGCTCGCAGATTCGCGACCGAAGTGGTGCCCAAGTTGCTGGTAGTGAGTCTGGCGGCGGCGGCGGCGCTGCTGGAGCTCCCGGTGCACCTGGTGGTGGCGGTGGTATGGCTGATGCTCTGGCTGCCGCGTTGCAGAAGCGAAAAGAAAAGGTCTCTAAGAGTGGTAAGTTGTGACAATTTCAACGAGATCTGAATTAGGGGTTCTAACGAGCAAATAGACGACGAGAGCGACAACGACGAATGGTAAAGTGACACACTACAACAACTCAAGAGGAGGATATGATGAACGAAGTCGGGAAAGGTCATGGTTCGTCGCTTGGATGGAAAAGCTTGCGCACATGAGCGAGAATGGAGTCTGCTCCCACACGTTTACGTTCTAGGCCGCTGAGCAAGCGCGGCCGCAACATGTTCATAGGGTTTGAAATCTTGTCAAGTTGGCTTGTTTTGCGTGGGCATCCGTTATGGGTCTGGCACGGAAAGGAGGTCAAGCTCTGGGGAAAAGCCCGCATGGTGTTGAGGAGTTTCGAATTTCTACGAGCGCGAGTTGCGAGGCGAGATCACGGACAGATCGAGCAAGCGTGTGCGTGTGTGAGCTTGCTGAGTCTGGATACGTGGTAGAAGAATAAACAGTATTCATGAAAAAGTGAGCGTTCTCTTATCTTGTCTAAACCAGTACTTTTGAGACGAGTGCGATAGTCGCGATGCATGCATGAGAAACCTTGATCGTCCAGTACAACCAACAAAGACAACAAGACAGAAAACAGACATGAGATTTGATGGAAAAAGAAGTTGACAGGCCGTGACGTCCCTCCCACCACGGCCGTCCAGGGCTCCACAGCAACTACTGTCGTGGGACCCAAGGAATAGAGTTGAGGGCTCGTCCAAGGGTTTGAGAGAGAAGACAGTATCAACGACGCCGGCTGGGGAAACAGCAGGACTGCTTCTTGACCGGGACGTCGGGGGCTCGGTGGAGTGAGAAAGAGACGGGGGAGACAGAGGGCGACTCTTAAATGTCGTCGATGTCGACCTCCTTCTTGCCGCCGGGGCCAGCGTCGGACTCATCCTCCGAGTCGGCATCGCCGAACTCGAAGTAGGCCTCGCCGTCCTCGCCCTGGCCGAACGAGTCGGTCTCGTTGATCTTTGCGTTCTCGGGGAGCTCGCCGTAGGACTTGAGGGTACGGGCCTCGTCGGCAGTGTACTTGAGGATGACGTCGCCCTTGTTGTCCTGGAAGTCGCGGAGGGAGAGGAGGATAATATCGCCCTGGTTGATCCAGACCTTCTTGCGCATCTTGCCGCGGATCTATCAAAGGGGTTTTGTTAGCTGCTGAGGTGTTCTGGCGGATGGTGACGTTGAACGCGGGTCATTTCGGGTGAGGGGCAATTTTTTTTTTCTTTGTCACTTACGTTGGCGAGACGCTTGCTGCCGTCAAAGCACAGGGCCTCGAGACGACCGTTGCCGAGCATCTTCACGACCTGGGCGTACTCCTGACCATCCTCCTTGAAGGTGAGCTCTCGGCGCTGGTCATCGTTCTCCTTGGTACCACGTCTGCGGTTCTTGCCGCCCTATAGACACAAACGTGTTAGCGATGAATGAGGCTTCCTCTTTGTTTACCGCGCGGTAGGCTTGTGGTGATGGTGGGGGCGGGGCATTTTCGGTTCGGTTGCGCGTAGAGATGCGACGTCGAAGAGAGAATCAGTGAGGACGTTGGGAGCGAGAGTACTGTACCTTTCCCTTGTTCTTAGGCATGTTGATAGATTTGGGGTCTTTGTCTTTGGATAGAGAGAGAGAAGTTTGGTCTGGGGAAAGTGGTGATGATGTTGTTGTGGTGTCGTTGGTTTGAGAAAGTGGATTTTTCCAAGACGACTTTGGTTTGGTTGCTGACTGACGGAGTTGGGCTTTTGTTTGGGCGGCGGATGGGCTTGTGATTCAGAACTAGACTCAGAATGAGTCAAAGTGTGGCGTATGACTGATCCAGTTATACTTTTGTGGTGCATACAAACTTTGCTGTTACTTTGGTACCCCGTTATCATGCACAGCATGACCTTAAGTGGCGGCTAGGATCTGTTGGGGGGGCAGAGCTGGTGCACCGCCACTGTGGCTTTCACGGGAATTGAATCTTGATCATCCAATGCCGGCTCCGAAGATGGCGACTTCATCTTTGACGACGTTTGCCCGTTCGCTCCATCGCCCGCTGTCGCATTGACTTTGCGCACGCCAATTATAGGCGCAAGAATATTCGACGATCTTCTGACCACAAAATGGTCAGAAGCCGCTCTGCCATCCCATCATCATGGCGGTAGCTCAAGCTTCATCAGGGCCTCGACTTCTGTCACGGTCTCTAAACTCCCTCCGATGCGCCTACTCTACAACGACGACATCTACATCCTCGACATCTACCACCTCTCCTCCTCCTCGAACAGGCAAACCGAATCTATCAAGTAGAGGCCCATCAAATAGGGGTCCTCGAAAATCCTCACCAGAGAATGCAGACCAGCCCCGAAGAAAAGGTCTCGAGGGACCGCCACCGGCCCGGAACCCGCAATTAGACAACCCAAAGGCGGTGCCCAACTTTTACATCCCGGCGCAGGCCAAATTTTTCGTCCAGCCCAATGGAAAGTTACGGACGACGCCCGATGTGTGGCAGTTCCTGCACGAGACGGGCATAGAATACAACAATTCGAAAGCCCTGAGGATATGGCTCGGCCCGGAACATCGACGCATTACCGACAACTTTAGTTGTAGCGTGCAGTACTCGTCCGAATACATACTTCACCCATATCACCTACAATATCTAACACCGCACCAACACCCGTTAACACCGACTGTGATGTCCCAGTACCGGCAGAAACTGGTCGACGAACAGCTTTGGATATACACTATGAACAGGGGAGGGTTTGTCGGGGTGGTCAAGGGAATCACACAGCGGAGGTTGACGTGGGCGCTGGCTAGTGCGCTGGAAGAGCTGGGACATCCGGGAACCGGGATCCGAGGGACGGTGATAGTAACGTTAGGGGATGTACTCAAGGCAGCCCACTCGCCGGCTCACCTGTTTGGCCAAGGCGTTGCGCAGGCGATCGACAGGGAGTGGAAGCAGCATCTATGGAGGAAGAAACATGAGCCAGTGAAGTCGGCGCGTGCTCACCGTTTCGGCTAGGGATGCAATTATGAAGGATGAAAAGTCGACGGATGAGTCGGTATTGAGCTTCGACCTTGGGTTCGGTAGCAAGTGAGAGACTATTTCTCCAAGAATGGAGGTGTAACTTGTTAATCGTTTGGAAATGTCCAAGTTGTACCTAGCGATCAATCAAGGCTGCAGGTACAAGAAAAGCTGCAGTAACTATATCAGAGATAATGCCGGATGGTTTGGCTGTATAATAGTCTATGATGCCATGTGCACTGGCTGTGCAATTGGAAACATAGTTGTTCGTTTCTCTATTATACCCGGGATAGAAAAGAGCGTCAAGTTCACGAAAGAGAGCGTCCTTTCATACGCCGCTGGAGACATACCTCAACATCAAACCAATGGATGCTGGCATAGTTTACCAAGAAGCTTCAACTAGCTAGTTTTATGGATCTACACCCTTGGCTGAGTTGGGGATTCAGGGGAACTTGGCGTTCTCGAACGCATAGTTCAGACCAGTCAGTGCCTTGATTCGTTGGGTGTCAACCTTCTTTTAGTCTTCAACGAAGGATCACTCTGTTGCCTGCCTCTTGGCCTGGATCCAGCATGCATTGGCCCCTTTGTGTGCCTACAGGAGAGATGCCTAGTGATGACTTAAATTCGGCCTGTCTACTGAATGACATCCGGACGACCGGACTTCCTTATTATCACCCAATGGATGTTATCCACCTTTGTGGTAGAGCGTGTACCTCCCTAATGATGGCCAGAGCCGGGATGTTAGTGAAGCCTCTAAGCAAGGTCAACTTTATTATTTGTTTATATAGGTAGCTGTCACTGGGTAGTATGTATATGCCAAGCCTGCCCCCCTCCCCTTCCATTGTTTATATACTCTAGGTAAGCAACGGCATAGAGCGAGTATGACATGCGAACACTACCAGATTGCACCTGTTTCCCAAGCGCCCTGAGGATCCTGCTCGGAATGCACCCATCCCAAAGCCCCCGTTTCCCTATCAACGACGCGGGAGTAACCGCCGGGGTGAGCGTAACTGGGATTGCCATTGAGCGACCAGATGGGCTGCCCAGAGAAGAATTCGCGGTGAGTCTCGGTCAATCCTCCGACGGTGAGTGGACCTGGAGTTCCTACTTGGCATCGCCTGAGTCCTTGCACCATGAGCCGATAGAGTGCATAGCGAAACGTGCAGATGCTTGTGTTCAGGGGCAAAATCCAACAATCCACCTCGCAGTTCTCATCGCGAATCTCGTTGGCTGTTTGTGCTCGAAACTGGAGGATAAGCAGCGTCCGGCCATCCCAGCAAAAGACCTGAGGGCATCGATATTTGTCTGCGTATCTGTAGCGGACTGGATGAGTCACGCGAAATTCTGCTCAAGTATTCAGGCTGTTTGTTGTTTACTCACCCACGGAGCTCCTGCGCCAGCCTCTGCTGAGCTTCATTCAACCTCCCCTGACACCATGCGTCAACCCGAATAAGATTCCGTTTCATTTCGCCAATAATCACAGGTGCTCTTGAACCGCCCAGGTACATGGCATACGTGGAGTCGACGTTCTCGGGAATGTTCCTGTCCCCCAGAGGAGCTGTGTGGTCCGTCTGAACAATGGCTGGGTATCTCTGCCAGGCGGCGAGCACCACATCCGATACCTCTGTGTGCCACCAATGCTCGATATCGGCCTCGGTCTCGAATCGCCAGTGTCTCGCGTTCGGCAGCTGCCCGACTTCGCTCATTCGCTTTTGCTCGTCGTCCATGAGGGGGAGAAACGCAGTGTCAAAATCCACCCCAGTAACTTCTCCGCTACCCATATCCATCGTCGTGTGAAGCCGATACCTCCGGAGGGGCGCATATGACTTTGCCCATGTTTTGCTAGTGTATGAAGTGATGTCGGGGTTGTCTATAGAATTGGTAGGGTGCTGGAAGATGAGTGACTGTACTGAGCTCATGGTAATGATGTGATGATGTACGAAGCCTATGGATTTACTCAGGTAGATCCTGGCGACTACCTACCTAAATCCCCTCAAGGAATGGGGTTGATAAGGCTGCTGTGATGAACATATTGGCCTTGTTGCCTGCTCGCTGCTGCCTACAGTCTGCAGCTGGCTGAAAACAACCACCCAACAGCACTTCGTTTTCACAAGGTGGCATATAAAACTTCTGCACACTCTGATGCTTAGATGATCTAACCAAAGGGTCATTGTTGCTTAGAAGTTAGGAAAAACAAGACTAATTATCTTGATACAACGGGATATACTCTTCTTCGAAAAAAAAATAAAAAAATAAAAAATAAAAAAAAAAATTTAAAAAAAAAATTTAAAATTTGTGAAATATATAGGTTGATCCTGTTCAAACGCCTAAAACTTGTGCATTGAGTAGGCACCTATGTAGTGCCCGTTGCTCGTCTGGGGATGATAAGGATAAACATGTGGCCGAAGCTCAGGGGAAATGAAACCAACTTGACCAAAACACATCCAATTCAACAGAAACCTCAGTGTCCAGATTTGCGTCAACCTGGAATGCCACTTTACGATGCCTCAATATATTCAAGTTGGGCACAATCCGAATCCGATGACGGCGGTTGAGCTGCCCAAGTTTAAAATCCCTGGTGAACCGGATCGGTATCGTTTGACAGCAACGGGGGGCATAGTCAGAGAGCCCACTCCATCTCTGCAATCATTGGTCAGTCGTAGCTGAGGAAGTACTCTTGTAATGAATCTTGGGCTCATATTGGTTTTGGACAGCAATTTTGGTTTCGGACGCGTCTGGTTTCTGCTACTGGTCGAGCTGTTGATAGTTATCATCCCAATGTGCTGCGACTGCGCGTGGACCCTTCACCACTACAACAATTCATTCACCGTGTGGTTAGCTTCATTCCTCAGCTAGTCCGTTCCTACGTCAAGAGTATCTTTCCGGAGTGGTTTCTCCCAACAAACCTTGTCCTCAAGACTGAGAGACAGGGAAAGGAGGAGGAGCACGGAGATCCTGATGAGCTGATGGACACCGAGATCCGAGCCTACAAGCAATTGAAACCCGTGCAAGGCGTCGTGGTGCCCGTCTACTATGGCGAAGTTCGGTGGAATGGTTTCAGGTCGATAATCGTTCAAGACGTCGGGGGTGCGTCTTTGCGCGAGCCCAAAGGAATGCTGCTGGAATTCGACGAGTTTGCAAGGCTGCTCGAGGAGTGTTATGTTGCCCTCATCAGCTTTGGTGTGAACATCGAGGATAGTCAACTGGGAAACTTTATCCTGGTGGACGGCAAAGTGATGGCTGTAGATCTGGAGATGGTGTCTTTTTATAGGACTGAAGACGAGATGAAGCAATTCATGTACATGGACATCAGCGACTTGGCACATAGGTACCAAGACCGCCGTAAATATCTGCGAAGGGAGGGCTGGTTGGAGGCAGCAACATGAGGGAGGCTAATTGGCATTAAGCTCCATTCCAACATTGAAAGAACCATACCCAAAGTAAGCGACTTTTTAGGCCATCGTCTCTGATTCCATTGTTAATCTCCCGGCATCTTTATCGATCCCGTCGGCTCCAGGCCGAAACATGTCAACGGGCGCGGACGGAAGCCTACCTAATTAAAGGAACAAAGAGACAGGGGCAGTTCTGGGCTGACGCAGCTGGGGGAGAGCCTCACAAGATCCGCGTCGGTTGCAGTGGCTCGCGACTCTAATCTGGGTGCTAATTTACAGGGGCTCAGGGGGCCGTGCTCCCCCCCAAATTTACTGGCGCGGAGCGGGCAGCGGCACCTAAGCCAGTCTGCTTGGCGCCGTCTTGTCGCGCGCCAGAAAAGCCGTCACCCTTCAACCTCCACAACCTAACGAACAGCTCAGCAGCGCCAGGCGAAGTGAAGCTAATTCCACGTCGACGTTATCGCACTTGACACTATCACCAACCTCCTCTCTTGCACTTACGATACGACCTCTGCGCATACGGATCGGGAGTAGACGGATCTTAGCCAGCTTCTACTTGCGTCCCCTTGTTTCATCTTCAGCGTGCATCTCTGCCGCGTCCTCGTGCCCCATCGCCATCGCCATCGCCATCGCCATCGCCATCGCCATCCCTCCCTGTCATCATCACCGTTCGCCCTTATCCTGCTGCGACTTTTGCTACCATGCTCGTCTCCCTCACCGTCGGCAAGGTCGACGCGGGCGTTACCGTCCTTCTGACGCCGGATAAGCGTCTGGTGAGTTTGAATCGCTATTCTTTCACTTGTATCTCTTGCTGACACAATGCCTTTGTCCCTGTAGATCGAGTTCCCTTCCATTCTCCTCCCTCCCAACATCTCGTCCGGAAGCATCGTCGACATCAACGTCTCGCAGAACGCGACCAAGGAAGCCGCCGCCGACCGCGCATTCCGTGCCCTTCAAGATCAGATCTATAACTCGTTTGGCGCCTCGGAGCCCGTCACCCCCGTCCTCCGCTGCCGCAATGCCACCCAGACTTCGGTCGTCCTCGAATGGGACCCCATTCAGCTCGCCACCGCCGACATCATGTCTCTGAGCCTCTACCGAAATGGCCAAAAGGCAGGCAACATCCCCCGTCCTCTTCAGATGCACAGCACCAAGATCAGCGGCCTCGCTGTCGATACCGAGTACACCTTCCACCTCGTCCTGCGCACCAGCGCCGGCACCTTTATCAGCGATCGCGTGCCTGTGAGGACACACAAGATGACGGACCTGAGCGGTATCACTATCACAACGGGCATTCTGCCGGGAACTACCAAGGAGAACTTGATCAAGGCGGTTGAGCGCATTGGTGCCAAGATTGTCGAGGGTGTCCGCATTGACACGACACACTTTGTCACCACTGAAGGCCGGGGGCAGCAATGGGAGAAGGCTGTCGAGAGCAACATTCCCGTCGTACGTCCCGAATGGGTCGATGCTTGTGAGAAGACTGGTCGTATCCTCGGTGTTACAAAGTTCTACCTCGACGCTATGAAGCCTGGACCCCCGAGCGAAGAGCCTACGCCTCCCCCTCCACCACCCCCCGAGAAGAATGAGAGGAAGGAGGAAAAGGATCTCCCTGCACCACCCGCGCAGAACGGCGAGCAGTCAGCAAAGCCAGAGGAGAAGAAGGAGGAGCAGGCGCAAAAGAATGGCGACTCGCAGAGCTCGAGTAGCGAAGACGATGACGTACCCGAGCAAAAGGCCAAGGCAGAGCAGCAGGCGGAGCAAAAGGTGCGGTTCGAGGACAAGGAGGAGAACAAGGTTGCCTTACGGCCGGCCGGCAGCGAGCGAAAGAGCGAGGACAAGGACGACAAGAAGGCCAAGGTAGAGGATGAGGGTGACGATGATGCCAACGCAAAGACCGCACCGACACCTGATGGAGCATCTTTCCAAGAGGTGGAACTATAGACATACAAAAAGAAGACGTTGGTGGTTTATTTTCACGGTTTCAGTTCACCTCTATGAAAGCATGCCTTGATGGATTTCCCCTCGGATGGCGCATGACAGTTGAATTGTTTGCTTGTCTGATATGTCTCTTATACAGATCATGTATGACTACCAATGTTGGCTGGGAAGGTTTCGGGACAGCGACAGAGCAGATATTATTTGTTTAATCAGTCATGTTTGTGTTTTGACATGTTACTCTTGAGAGTCTATGGCGGAACCTCTTCCCCCTTCCATCCCCAACACTTGCCTCTCTGATCTAGACTTAACCCCGTGGCGACGCTTACAAGCTTCTCAGCTGCGTACTCAGGGCTGAGGAGTTTATCTTCCTCCACGCTGTTCCAAAAGTCCTTGCTAAGATCCGTCTTTACTGTTCCTGGGTGATACGCGATCGAGATGGCCTTGTCGCCACTTCGACCTTGAAGGAAGTTGTCGTAGCTCTTGCCCAAGCTGATGACGCCGACTTTACTCGCCCGGTACGAGAACCATCCTCCTGCACGGTTGTCTGTTGTTGATCCTACACGAGCTGCCATGCTGAGCCATACGGCATGATCAGGGAGTTGAAGTTCGTCGCTCTCGGGGCTTGAAGCGAGCTCTGTTGTCCGCTTGGGAAGAAAGGCATCAAAGTGCTTTATGAGAAGTAACGGACCGACAGTGTTGACGCGGAATTGCTCGAGACTCGCCTCAGCGTCGACTTGACTTGGGTTCTTTTCAGGTCTCAAGATGCCAGGAATAGCACATGCGAATCGCAGATGATGCTTATCCGTAGGAAACAGATCTGCCGCCTTGGAAGCTGCCTCGCTAAGGGACTTGTCATCTGTCACATCAGCGTGGACGATGGAGAGCCTCGAGGCGAGGCTGTCACTCTTGGGAAGACCCTCGAGGAGAGAAGCCTTGACATCCTTGGGGTCGTGGCGATGACGAGCCGTCGCGAGGATGGGGAGGGATGTCTTTTGGAGGAGGTGACGGGTAAGGGCGTAGCCTATGCCACGGGTTGAGGGGGAGACCAAGATCCAGGGTTTGCTCATGATGAAGCACAATTATTTGTTGGGTATTATCAAAAGATTGATGAAGGGTTTGAATTGGGATTGATAGAGTGTCGAATTTTGTGTCTCAACTCCATGGCTCATCGATGATGCGTATACCCTCAACTCCCACGATCGACGTCATGCAAGGAATCTACTCAGATCTCAGACATCGTCAGCCACGACCCACGATCGATGCGTTAGCGCGTAAATCCAAAATAGGAAAGACGAAAAGAAAACCGTTGACGCTGACAGTAAGTGTCATAGAAATAGAGTTGAGAAACGTTCAAGGGTGAGGCGTTTGGATTAAAATGAAGAGGTTATTGCCATGAAACAAGGTGTGTGTATATATTTAGAAAGGAAAAATACAGGTGGTGAAGAGATTTGAGTACATGGATAAGGATAAAACCAACCCTCTAGACTCGTCATAACAGCCGTTAGCTAGGAAAAATATTGTCTGGTGCAGAGACAGATATAAATGCTGAAGTCGACAATCAACATTGTTCAAAACAAAAACCCGAAAAAGATCAAACGCTCAAGTGGTAAACCAACCCAACCCCCGAATAACCCTCCAATACCTTTACCCTTGGATATCAATATCAATATCAAACCGCGAATGCGTGCAGACTGTCCTGTTCCATGCCGAGCGACCTGGCCTCGAAGCTCAGTCGCGATCGTCCAGCTAGCTCCCTCATCAGCGGCTCGATCGTGTCAAATCCACTCATGTCATCGCTCACGTTTCCTGCCTCCAGCTCCTCCTTTGTCTTAACCAGCTGTTCCAGGAACTCTCGCTCCGAGGTTCCCCCTGGTCGTGCCAGCATCCGGCCTCGGCTGGTTTGTCGTGATGGTCTCCCCTGTGGGCTTCGCTGACGGGGTAGCTCCTCGTCGGAAACCCAGCCTTGGGCGCGGCGGGGTTGTTGGTCCTCGTGGACGTTGGCTAGGGTGCGGTTTAGGTTGTCGAGGACGGGCACGAGTGCTCGTAGCCATACGTCGCCGTTACGTTCTAGTCGACGGACTCTTCGCTCCATCTCTCGAATTCGATACTCGCGATACGCCTCGTAGCGGCGTAGAACCTCCTTCTCCATTATGGGCATCTTGTTCTCCTCGGTCTCCTCCTTCGTCATGACTAGCTTCCTCGCCTTTGATCGGGGGCTCATTGCCCTGGCCTCCTTAGTCTTGCGCTCCTGCTCTCGAGCTGCGTTCCACTCTCGTCGTCGTGAGAGTGAGGTTCGGTCGTGGCCCGTCTTCTTGTAAGCTGGTGATCCATGTGCTGACTGGGGAGGGGTTGGGTTGCTTGAACCCTCTACGTAGGGATTAGGTGGTGGTGGTGAAGAAGTGCTGCTAGACAGATCCTCCTGTGCAGCTTTTGAAGGTGTCTTTGGTGCAGCCTTGGGCTCTGGTTTCGAATGCTCTATCGTCTTCTTTGACTCAGATTTAGGTTGATCTCGGGCTTCTTCAGGAAGTCTTGATGAGGGCGGAGGTGATGGCTTGACGTTTGCCACAACCATGATGGGACATATGCTCTGTCTGTTTGGCGACCTCGCAGGTACTGGCGGAGGCTTCTCAGCGTCCTCCTCAGTTGGCGTCACCTTTGCCTTGTCCTGATCACTCTCTGGCATGATCTCTGTCGTAACGATCAACTGGCTCTGACGCTTGATGCGTTGCGCCTCCATGTCCTTGCGCTTCTTGTCCCGGACCTTCTCACGGCGACTCTGCGTCGACTTGACTGAAGGGGTGGGTGAGTCTTCGTCCTTTGTTACTTGTTTCTTGGGCTTCTTGGGCCTCTCGGTCTCCTCTCTCGAGTTTCCCAGCGGACTGGTAGTGATGACTGTCACTGGTGTCTCCTCCTTCTTCTTGGTTGACGATCGTATCCGGGACTCCTTTACTACAACAGGCCTTGCCTCGACTGGTTTGGCCTCTGCAACAATTGGGTCGTTCTCGCTTGTCGTCATGATACTCTTGGAGAGTGACTGAGATCCTTCCTTGGAAGGAGGCCTGTTAAAGGAGAGAGGAGCTGGATGAGTTTCGGTCGGCTGAGACATCATGGCATCGATAGATGACGTCCCCGGATGCACAAAGCGACCGCCAGTCATGCTGGTGTTTGGCAATGGGAGGGTGTCTCGCCTATTCGAGTTTACTGGCGTCGAGGTTGACTGATCGTAGTCGTGAAACTCCCGAGATTGTTCATTGGACTGTTTGACCTGATCCGGTGACAACACTCTCGGCGGCGTCGCTGGGATATAAACGTTAAAGTACTCGGACGTGTCTCCGTGACTGGTGCTATTAATAGCGCCGGGGGAGTATGTTCTTCCCAGGGTGGTGCTCTGAGGTCTCTGGTGGTTTACCGAGGCGGGACTCTGCGACGATGCAGGACTGGTTGAGGATGACTCCCGATCCTCCGTGACAGTTCGGAGCACTGTGACGACGCCCTTGTCGTTGAGTACAGCCCTCGTAGGGGTGTATCGCGACGTGAGCGGCTTGACACTGCGGTTCTGATAGACGGGATACTGCGACCTGGGGGTCCGGCCAAAGGGTGAGGCGTCGAGCGGGATGGAGATGGCGATATGCCGGTGCCCGCCTATGGTGATGCCCGAGACTGCAGAGTCCGGGAGCCGTATGGTCTGGGGCGTCTTGGAGAGGGATCTGCTGCTCCTCCTCCTACCCAGCTTGCGCAGCCTGTACCAGCGGCCCCTGTCCTCGTCGCTGATGTCGTCGGGGATGGACATGAAGTTGCCCGACGGCGGCGCGTGGTTCCTCAGAAAGTCGATCAGCTCCGCAAGCCCATCCTGCCGGTCTTCAGGGTCTTGCTGGTCCAGGAGGGTGTCGTCGTGGAATTCAACGTCCTGGCTGGGCCGGGTGAGAAGGTTGGAGGCTGACTTTGCCCTTGGCCGGGTACGTGCCGCTGGCGTTGTCGAGCTGAGCTGCGGCTGAGACTGACGCTGCTGAAGAGGCCTCGAGGTGTAGGCTGGTGAGGTTGTGCGAGGAGGATAGCTGCCGTCATTGCCCGACGTGACAGAAACCTCGCGGCTGTCGCCAATAGTTTGAGCCATGCCGGGCCACTACTAATACGAGAGACACACGCCCAGAGCTAATGTGCCTCACCCGAAAAAACCTGTCCTAATTCCTTTGCGCAACTATGGTGCACTTGCATCCATGGGAGGAGAAAGAAAGAAACCCTGTCTCAGTCAGTATGCGGAAACCCGTGAACCTCGTCACCGGTTCTTTCTTGCCTCTTTGTGCGTCCAGTGTCACCGTCCGTCCCCTCGGGGCTTTTCTCTTTGCATGCAGTGTTATACTTTGTACTCCTCCCTCCGGTGGGTGACGGCCGTCAAGGGCCGGGAGGGAGGAACTAGATGACAAGAGAAAGACACGGCTAGTTGCAGGTAGTATCACAGTACAACAGCTCTCTAACGATTCAAGTCAGCCACGGGGGGTTTGAGCACTGTGAGAGACGAGATCAGGTCAAGTGGGATGGGATGTAAGTTGGTGATGTGTCGAAAGTTTGGTGTTGAGGGAAGAAATCAGGTTTGCAAGGACAAGGACACAGACCCCGGGGGCGGCGCCTCATCATCGAGCTCTCTCTTTCTCTCTCCCTCCCAAGCAGCCTCTTTTTTTTTTTCTTTTGCGCAAGCCCCCAGCCAGGGCTCTTTTTTAAGTCAGTGAGGTCTCAGTGCCATGCCGTCACCAAGCCTGGCCGCCCCATCCATGCCCCAGGAGCGCCACCCTTGATCGAGAAGGGGAGGGGGGGCCAAGTGCCGCTACCAGTTGGACGGCGTTGTCCCCTTTGGCTCGGAAGGGGGGGAGGGCCCGTTGATGGAGGCCGGTAGAAACGCTGGGAAATGGCCCTGAGCTAGCCACAAGTCATGGTGCCGCAGCCGTAATTGCGACTCTGACGACAGCACGTATCCAGCCCATCGGGTTGTCGCTCTAACCTGGTGACCACAAAAGATCGACGCCGCGCGGCGGGTACCCCATCGTTTGGTCGTCTCTCTCATTCAACTCCCAGATTTGATACTGGAGATCTCATTTCCAGCCCCGTGGCTAGCTCGCTTTCTTTTTCCTCTTGTTCCCCTCCTCTCTACCTGCAGCTGTGGCAGCAGCAGGATATCCGCCCACGTACATCAAGTCCTCGCAGTCCAACCTCCCTGCGAGAAAAAGAAACGAAGGAACAATAAAAAGCAAAGCCGCGTCCAGCGCATTGAGGGTCCGAGAGGGTCCCCGGGAGTGGAAGCGGACAGGGATCCCGGATCGTAGACGACAGGACTAGAGGGTCGCGTCTTGGTTGGAGCTCACTCCCCGTCGAGATCAGGGCCACCCATCCCATCGTCAGTGCTCGCAGCAGCTTTGTTGTCTGTCGTCACATTGTGTGCCGTCTCTGTGTTCTGTGTGCCCCCAACCTCTCTGATGGTTGGACGGGATGACATTCTCTCACCCATCCCACCAACGAGTGCTTCTTCCCCCAACCAAAGCACAACCAACTCTCCTCCTTTCAGCTCGCCCGAGGCTCTTTTCAGGAACGCCGCACGCGTCAGGCACAGCAAGCTCGGTCCAATCTCCAGCTGTGCTCTTCAGCCCACACCCCAGTCAAGGTCCCCCAGGCGGAAATGCTCCACGGTCAGAGGCCCTTCCGAGCGCCACCGCTGATCTGCCCTGCAGAGCACCGTTAGTGCCCTGACCAAAGCCAGGTTTTGCCAGCCAGGGCTCTCGATTGTTCGGCTTGTGATGTTGGGTGATCAACTCTCCTGCTTTTCAGGCCTTCCATGTTGCGTCTTGGCATCTGAGCTGGACTCTTCAGCGCATGTCGTAAACAGTTGAGATCGTCAGAGCCTGCGTTGCCCGCTGGCATATGCTGTGAGACTCGCATCTGCTCTTCCTCTCCCCGCTTCCGCCCGGTGAACGACGGGTTGTTGCCAGGTTGATGCCGATATTGATAGACCCCCTTGTCCCTGTACCTGTGATGATAGAAAACCCCTGCTCGCTTTCATTACATCGCGCCCTGAACGGACCAGGACCCTACCTCGCACCCCAACTACCGGATCCTTCCTTTTAGCGAGAAAGTCTGCCCATGGGCAAACAAAATCGCCTCATTCGCCGGCGCGTTCGTGTTTCAATTTGCGGAATAGAGTTTGGACGACTTGACAATTCTCCGGTCCGTGATGATGTTTTTGGGAAGAGTGTTTTGAAACACCAACTCGGTGCGCATTCACGGTTTATACATTTGGTCTAAGGATTAGGGAACGACTACTCTGTAGAATCCTTTTTGTTAAGCCTTTGTTCTAGCTTGGATCTTTTTCTTCTTCTGAAATTACCACTTCACCGTAAAATGAAGACATCTTAATGAGCATTCGCTAAGGATACCCTCAGTGGCACGTCAAATTGCCAGGTTGGTCACCACCCAAGTCGACCCCGTGAACATAGCCATGTCACGTGACACACACGAACCATCGCAGGTCTCGAGTCTGGACGTGCATCCAATGCTGAACAGATGGAAATAACGGTCAAGCATTGTTCTGCTCGAGTCTATCCAGACCCGGCCGTAAAGAGCAAGTCGAATGTTGCTCAAGTCTCACCTTGGGCCTCGAGACTGGTCGAGATATGTCCCGACCACGCCCCATTAACAACTGCCCGAGATGAGCATCCTAGCTCCCCCTTGCATGAGACTCTCATGGCTCGCACGCAAGTATCCTCGCGCCGCCAATTTTCTTTTGCTAAAAGCTGCAAGCCATCCATCCACCCATATCCGAGATCCAACCTCTCGGTGTTCCTGCGTAGCCCCAACGGTGAATCACCCATCTCGCATTGTCTTCTACAGTTGTGCCTCTCCTAAAATGCTCCATATGCCCTCAACGCCTTTGAATGCAGAATGCCAAGTATCCCGTATGCATATAGTGCAAAATGAGGTCCATCTATCTAACCCTTTACCGTCTCTTGGGAACAAAGAGGCTTGGCTTCCCCTTCTTTCGGGGCCCAGGTTGCGGCAGAGGTGGGCGAATCGGCTGCAGCAGACAGTCAGCAAAATGCTCAATCAATTAAGCAAACTGACATACCTTATTGTCGTTCTGTCCCTGGTAGGACGTCGATCCACTCGATGTCGTCGTCGGATTCGAGGGTCCCGTCGGAATCCTCGGCCCCGTTGGTATCGAAGGACCAGTTGGCGCCATCGGAGGTGGTCGTTCTGGAGGCGTCAAGCCCATGACTGACATGGCCGAAGGATCTGTTGGGGGCTTGGGCGGTCGATGTGGTCTTTGACCAAACTTGCCCAGGAGTCCACCGCCTCGTGCTTTGTCGCTCGCTATCTGTGTTGGTGTTAGATTGATCGGGGGTGTTGGTCACGTTTGGCGGTGTTGACATACTCTCTTTGTACCGGGTTGATGGGACTCTGGTCCATCGTGCGACCGTTTCCTTGTTTCCCCTGGAGGCTTACCCGCCGATGATGTGTGAATAACTGGAGGCCCACCAGAGCGTGGGACAACCTCAGTTCTTTCAATCCCACCGAGGCCTGGAATGTGCGACGCTGGCGCAGGTTGTTGCGCCGTTGTGACAACCGGTGAGTTCGAACGCGATGAGGGGAGTGAGGACGTTCTCGAGGGCGCATCGCGCATGACAAGGTCGCTGTCTTGAGCCTTCTGTGGCACAAAAGAACCCGCTCCGGTTTGGGGAGGCGGAGCCAAGTAAGCGCCTGGCTTGGCCTTCTCAAGAGGTCTACGGAACATGTTCAAGATATCGCCCTTAGTATAGCGATCTCGTGCCTGGGCGTCCTCGATGAGCTTCCGCCAGAACTCGCCTTGCACAAGGGCTCGAGAGTCACCCAGAATCCAAAGGGACGACTTGGCACGTGTGAGACCGACGTTCATACGTCGAATGTCAGTCATGAAACCGATACCTCCAGTTGAGCTGGCTCGGACACACGAGAAGATAATAATCTCACACTCTCGACCTTGGAAAGCATCGGTGGTGTTGAACTCGATGATGTTCGTGATTGCCTCACCGTACCGTGACCGGAACCGGTTGCGAAGCTCATAGAGTTGTGCCTTGTAGGGGGTGATGATACCAATCTTGCCAGTCAAGTCACACTGTTGGTACTCCTTGCTGAATCGATCATACAGCTGCATAGCAACATCCAACTCCTTGGTGTTGACCAGGGACTGGCCTCTGTGACCTCGTTCTTGAACACCCTGGACATCAAAGAAGCGGTAAGGACCAAGCAGCGCACTCTTGTGCCATGGTTGCTGTCGAAGCTCATGCATGTTCTGACCATCCGCGAGTTGTCCTTCGTAGAATTCACGACTAGGGAACATGCTAATCTCGGGATGCATACGGTACTGCATATCAAGCAGATGCACAGACTTGGGGTGGTTCTGCTGCATTCGAACGAACAGACTCTGGTCGTATCCGAACTTGGCTGCTGACTGTGAAAGGACTGTAGGTGGAAGCTGCTTCGGATCTCCGACGAGGATACACTTGCAGCATCCATACTTGAGGGGGATTAGAGCACTCAGCTCCACACACTGGGCAGCTTCGTCGATAATGACCGTCTCGAACTCGACATCAAGGTTTCGGAACATCTCGTGACCACTTCCACTCAGGGTGGCACAGAGGACCTGGGCAGAGTTGAGAATCTCCTGCTGGACCTGGCGGCGGCGCAACTCCATCTCTCGAGCAACCGAGTTGCCACTACTCTTGTCAGCGTCAATCTGCTTGCCGATCGACATCTGGCGTCGTTTGAGCTCCTCGAATTCTCGAGAGAGCCTATTGTAGAGGCCTCGATCGTCACCGTCTCTTGATGCCTCGAGGCGAGGTCGTAAGAGCGAGAGTTCCTCCTTGATCTTGCCAGCATCTTCATGAAGCTTGTCGCGGTCAGCCTTGGCCTTGTCCTTGGTGCCGTCACCTTCCAAGCGGGCCTTGACGAGCTCATCGAGGGTAACATCTTTCACAGCAGCATTGATGGCATCACTTCTGCCAAGTCGAATGACATTGATGTTGCGAGTCTTGCCCGAGGTAGTCTTGATGCCGGATTTCAATCGCAGTACCAACTCGTCCACGGCGGCGTTACTGGGGGCGCACACAAGAAGCTTCTTAGAACGAGCTTGGTTGTTGGCGGCAGGTGCTCCGTTTGGTCGTAGGGGCACACCCACGGGAACGCCTGTGTTGTTCATTTGGCTGAGCTGCTCTGAGAGAAGGGTGCCAACCATGGCCACGATGGTCTTGGTCTTTCCAGTTCCGGGAGGACTAACAATGTTAGCGTTATCAACTTCGATGGAAATCACAAGAACTCACCCCTGGATCAGTGTAAAACCATCATTGTCGTGGGCACCGAGAACAGCCATAGCTTGTCCGCGGTTGAGAGAGAAGTTGTCCATACAGGAGGACACCTTTTCCTCGCCATAGCGAAGAATAGGAGATGGCTCGGCGTTTAGGATCTCATCCATCAGGTCATAGTACTGCAGACTCTCCAACGCAGCGTACTCTCGCTCGATAGTGGTCATGTTTGTGATCTTGACGCCATAGACACTAACGTTGGGGGTCAGGACCTGTGTCATGGGGTTGTTTCGAGAGGCCACCCGGTAAGTGACCTCGATCATCTCCTTCTTGTATGTGATGCGATGAACCCTGGCGAGACAGTGCCGAGCGGTCTTCTCGGTCAGGGGATTCTCTGCCTCAGATACAAGCAGAATGTCGCCTTCCGACACACCCCGATCCTTGTTCTGGACGACGGGCATGGTGAATGTCGCCTCTAGATAGCTATCGACACTTGCACGACTAGCAATCTTCATGCCAAAAGGTTGAGCGGTTAGCTCGTCCTTGGAAGTGACAAAGGAGCGCCAGGCTTCGGATGCCAGCAACGGGAAGAATGTATCCTGGTATGATCTGGGGTTGGAGTACTTGGTCGCAACCTCAGATGCTTTTGGACCGTTGGGTGGGTCATTGCCTGCGTGGAAGATGTCCCAGGCCAAGATGGTGTTGTGCAGTCGATCCATGGGAGGGATCAACCGAGCTCTCATCTCCTTGACAGATCTTTGCTGTCTTACCTTCTTGACGGGCTTACGGAGTTTGTCACGGAGCGCCTGCAGACGGCGCTTCTCGGTCTCATCAAGAGTCTTCTGGCCTCCGGTGCTGAGAGCCGCGAGCTCGTTGTCAGCATCAGACTCATCCTCTTCTTCTGACTCCTCATCCGAGCTATTAACCATGATGTCGCTTCTTCCATGATCCTTGCCGCTAATACCAAGGCTAAGTAGACCAGAACCCTCGCCGGGGACAATCTCCCCTCGAAGGGCCTTGGCTCGTGCGATAGCCTCTGCATCACGCTTCATCTTCTCGGCCTTGGCTCTCTGTCTGCTTTCCTTCAGTGCAGAAATAGCCTTGAGATCAGGTCCCTTGGGCTTGGGCTTGACCTTAAGCATGGCCTTGGCCTTTGCCTTGGCTTGTTGTGCCTCAAGCTGCTTAAGGATAGGGCTGTCGATAGAGCTACTAAGCTCAAGCACATCGTCCCGATTTGATCTGGAGGACGGTGTGGTAATTGTTCCTGTGGACGAAGTACCCGACTTCGACCAAGCATCAAGCCTGCTCTGTTTCTTGACCTTGTCCTTGGTTTTCTGTGCCGACTGTTCCACTATGCCCAGTTGGTAAATCTGAACCTCTTCATCAGTCTGCCCCAGAGCCTGCAAAAGCTCGGCCCGCTGTTGATCTGTCATGTTTGTGGTCCTAACATATTTTCCAGGTATACTGGTGGGTAGACAAGCATCAGTGATCAGCTTACGGGAGGCTGGGTTGATCTCATGGCCGTTCTCTCGAAGACGGGTGAGAATCTTGCACAGGACTCGGACTGTGACGTCGACGAGCCACCTATCTTTAAGTCGGATCATGTTTTCCATGCCGCCAAAGTGCTGTTTTGCTGGCACAAGGATCTGGGACATGGTATCCTGCTCACTCTTGCCTAGAGCTTTGGAAATGGCCGAAGTGATAAGACCGTCTTCCGCGACAAGAGCTTCAGCAAGCTCCATGATCTCTCTGCAAAACTCTGTCATGGTGGCGTTCTGGATGTATCGAGACCAGCCTTCGATGTTTCTACAGGCAGTCGACACGAACCGCCATTGCTCGCTCCACCAACGTAGAACCTTTGCTGCCGACATGGGCTCAAGAGTCTTGACTCGGAGGACACCAGAAATAGGGTCTGTCAAACCACGGAGGATATCTCGACTCATGTTGAGAATAGGTCTGATAGGACCCCAAGGATTCGGGGGCTTGAGGATCCGCTCCAATGCCCACACTATGGACGAAAGGGTTTGATCAGGATGCAGCTGCGACATTTGCTCGAAGGCGCTGCTTCGGGACAGCTCTCCAGTCCAGCTTTTCAGCAATTCAGAAGCTGCCTCGGCGAGGTCCGACTCTCCGTGAGTGGAGAGGCCGATGGTGCCCTGGAAAGCATGACGGTCGTTGAATAGCGTGTTGAGATCCGTGGCATCGAGTTCAGAAACTCGTCCAAGGAGGTTCCCAAGAATCTCTACGGTTTCAGTAAGAGCCTTATTGAACTGTTTGCTTGACTCGCCCAAGCTGGTGTCGCTCTTTAGCGCTCTCACTTGTTCGACACCAATCAAGGGTTCGAGAGAGAGCACAATGTCTCTTGCTAGATCGATTTGCTCGGATGACAGATCAAACATTTCGACGACGCCTTGCCAGAAAACCTTGGAGTCTCTTGTGACTGCCGACTGAAGCTGCTTTCCTTCAAGGCAGGCAATGTACTCTTCTGCAAAGATCTTCATGTCCAGCTTCATGGCAGTTGACATGACCTTCTTGGCTGCATTAGCCACTTGAAAAGTCTGCCAGCCCTCCCGGTCTTGGCCAGGGGCACGCAGATTCGTCAAAATAAGATCCTTGTACTTCATGACCAGATTAAATGCAGCACTGGCGTAGAGGTGCGTGGTTCCAGCACCGATCTTGGTGTCCTGATCGAGGAAAGTCGTCATAGTGAATTGCAAGGCATCAAAACCAGCACGTATGCAAGCGGCCCTGCCCGGCTCTCCAATTGACTGATCCTTGGCCAACGACTCAAAGAGGGTATGCATCAAGACCTCACAAGCATCATACCTTCGATCTCGATTAAGCGATTGCAGCCAAGGGTCAACCCAGGAAGTAGGAAACGGCACAAGAGAGGAATTTGTGTCGAATCCGGACCAGCAATCTTCCAGAGACTGACGAAGCAAGTTCTTGTAGACCGGACTCGCGAAGAGCAAATCTGCAATCACATTGGGTCTTGCGTCACCAATTACGTCCCAGAATGCTGTCGGCGCCTTCTTGAGAAACCCAGTCAAGACGATGATAGTTATGACCAGGACGCCCTCCGCAGGGCAGGATTGAATGTGGCTGAAGAGGAGGTCGTAGATGTTGAAACTTCCTGGTTTTAGCTCAAGGCTTCGGAGACGCTGAAGTATGACATCGGCAGTGAGTGTTCTGAGAATTTCGTTGAACCCTTGCCAGAATTGCTCAATCTCGGGCCACGCTTCTGGCGCCTGGGCGTCCTTTCGGCTGATGTCGTCAATGGCCCAACTGAGTCCTCCGCTGACAGCCCAGTCGAACTGCTCCAAGGACATGGCGTTGCTGTCAAGGTTCTGGAAGTTCTGTGTTGCCCACTTGCGACGATCTTGGTTCCTCTGGTCAAAAATGAAGTATGTCATTCCTGGCAAAGGGTCCTTCGTTCCGAGCTTGAGTCCACTCTTGCCTTGCAACCGCTGAAAGACGAATTGAAATGTTGCCCGTCGGTCTGGCTGTGCCATGTACGGCATGCAGCATAGAGCTTCATAGACGGAAATGTGAACCTCGGTCAAGTGCTCTCCAAGTTGCGACTTCTTGAATGCAGCGCCGGTGGTCTTGACGATATTCTCGATAAACTCCCTAGCCCATACGAGATTTTTATCGATGCGAGCGACGTCTATGTTCTCAAGCATTTCCCGAATCTCGGCGACAACTTCTTCGTTCCATCGTCTAAATTGTTAATAAGGAAATTTGCCCTGCCTTGGCGCAGAGGTAAACTTACTCCTGGAATTGCTGGAGAACATCCTTGCGCTTCATGTGCCAGTTGAAGACGCATTCGGGGCAATACTTGAGGATGTGATTGAGTCTTTCGGCGAGTTCGTCTCCCCACTTCCCCTGACTCTGCTTGTCAAAGGCAAAGATCAAGCAGTTCCAGTATGTGACCTTGAGACGCTCGTTCCCCTCCTCAATGCGACTCTTCTTCTCATCCTGTGAGATGGTCGAGTCGGGATCGTCGAGCAGTTTGTAGTTCTCGTAATCATCGTCGCTAACTCGGGGGCAAAGCAGATGGCACTCCTTGGGGAACTTTTGTATCTTCTCGTACCACTGACTGAGCTCCTCATGTATGTCCATATTGTGCGACGTGTCTGGGTAAACGCATCTCTCGATTTCGCGGCCAAAGTGGGGTATCGGACTGATGTCGACAACAAGGTTGGATCATCGAGGATCTCGGGAGGTGCGGTAGCCGGCGACGTCTCGATGTGGGCGCCGACCCTCAATGTGGGTGGAGGTGTGGATGAGGTTGGTGACAGAAGAAAAGGTAGCGATCGAAGGTGACAGATTGTTGGTTGTTGTAGGTGAAAGGTTGATGATGTTGAAGGTGGAATTTATAGGTTGGTGGTGGTTGCTGGGTCACTTTTCGCCCTGAGCACTAAAGATCATCAAGGTCGCAACACAGCAGCAACAGCGGCAGTCGGAAGGAAGGAACGAGTCTAGCGGAGTTAGACAAGCAAATAGATAAACCATGAACACAATGAGGCCCTACCGAAAGTCTTTGTTCTGCAACAGGCAGTCAGCCTGCAATGGAGGTGCTCCGAGAACAGGCTTTGAAAATAAATGTAGTTAGGTTGAAGCTCCGGGACGGCCTTGCCTTGGCTCTGACGCGCCTGGTAGCCGCGTTCTTGCAGGGGTTTTAATGAACTGAGTGGGGCTGCCGTCGCTGGGGAGCGGTTGAGGTTCGGCAAAGTGCAAGTGAATCACTGGACCTCAACCACCCTGATCTCCTCCATTGTATCGAAACTCGAACCCATGTTCATATCTTGCTACGTAGGTAGTAGGCTAATTACTTCTTAACATTTCGAGGATCTTTTTACAGCCATTTCTATCACTCTTCTTCGTGCTGACTTGCAAAACTCGTTTGGCTTCCCTATGGCTTGGACTTGGTGTTATTCACAATCAATTTCACTCGTCCAGCACAGGATCCAACAATTAATTTTCACATCTATCGTACATATATACAGGCCGAGATCGGATATTAGTCACTGTCCTCGTCCTTGATCTGTTTCTTCTTCGCCGCTGCGTGCTGCTTCTTCCCCGTTCTCTCGACGAGTCCTTCCAGGGGACACTCTTCGTTGTTCCACTCCTCGCTCCCCTCACTCGTGTTAGCTCTGCATCGTATGCAGTTTCGCCCATGCTGAACAAAGAGCTTATGCAGCCCGTATTTAAGATGATTCGGTATTCGCACTTCCAGATGGCTGAACGTCTGGTCCCGTGTAGCTTTGGGAGGCATCCACTTCAGCCATCCGGTAAGCCGGTGGACGTGTGTGTCGACGGCAAAGCTGGGCTGCTGGAGACAGAACAAGATGACACATGATGCTGTCTTGACGCCGATACCGGGGAACTTGGTCAATGTTTGCATCGCTTCATCGGGATGCATTCCGTGAATGTGATCCAGTGAGAGGATATCCTGTTCCGTCTTCAAGATCTCCAAGTCCTTTTGACCCTGGGTCTTGCCATCAGCCTTGAAAGCCCCAGACATCTTGCCTGACTTCCTTTCCTGAATGAAGGCATCTCGTCGCTTTACATTCTCCTCATGAACCAACTCCAAGATTGCTTTGATGTCTTTTCCCTTGACCTGCGCTAAACCACCTGTTTTGATCGCTTCGACAATGGTTGTCAACGGGGCAGTTCTGACCTTATTCCAGTCAACACTTCCTTTCCCAATCCCTTCGTCGACAGTACCAAAAGCGTTCACTAGCCCTCTGAAAGCAGCACTTGAGTTTCGGTTGGAGGTGTTTGCACTGAGGCGGGTCCGGATCAGAGCATCGAGAACTGAAGGAACCTCTCCACACCCTGACACCTCCAATGACGGCGCCGGTATCTTGTCGGGTGCCTTAGCTTCGCCATGAATAGAAGCAAGTCTGCGATAGACTTCTTCGCACTCTTCTGCTGAGGGGGCTGTCCAATCGGGAAAGGGGGTGATGCCAGGTGTGAGTCCATAGGGATTATCCTTGGTCTTCTTGACAGGCTTTCGAGCAGGAATCTCTGGCACCACCTCGGCATCCTCATACTCATCTTTTGCCTCCTTCTTCACGGCTGATTGTTTGCTTGATCTTTTGGCAGGTTTTTTCGTCTCAAACTCATCATCCGACTCAAGATACGACGACTTGGCAGCGGATCGCCTCGGTCGCAATGATCTTCGAGTCACCGCCTCTCCATCTGTGGATGGCGGCTTGACCATAGGGTCAACAAGTGGTTTAGCCTCCGGGGAACCGTTCTCAAGTTTGACGTGTCCGACTGTCCCATCCGTGACCTTTGTTGACGTGGCATCCTCTTGATGGTTCCTTCGGGATGGACGGACAGGGCCCAGATTGTGTGGCAACTCCTCTGCTTCGTCGTCGGGCGGGCCAGTGACCTTGGTCTTCTGTCGTTTGGGCAATACTTTGTCTGTGGTACTTGCGGCGGCCCGCTTTCGTAGTGTACGTGTTGTCATGGCGGGTTGAGCAAGGTGAGTGAAGGTGCAAACAATAGCAACCACTAGTGGCGTTTTCTGGCGATTGAGGTTCTGAATCTGGCAACCCCAATTAGGCAATGTCGAGAGACGTTTGGCAGCAACCAAGAGCAAGGCTTTGTTCATGACAAGAATTGTTTGCAATAAAAATGTTCCTGGATCCTGACTTAAGTGATTATTTTCCAACCGTTTCACTGCATTGTTTCACTCTGGCATTTCCCTAGCTCATAGATCAACCCGATTATCAATGACCTCAAGAGTCGACCCCAAGATCGCCAGCCCCACCGCCGCCCATATCCCAGCCGTGTCAAGCGACGAAAGATCCTTGAAGAATTAGATTTGCAAGACGACTTTTCGGACTCTTTTCTCCTGCTGCTGATGGGATATTGATGATTGTATCCCTCGACTCTCAGAGTTCAAAACCACATGGAAGCACGGCAAAGGGGAGAAGTGTCACGCAGTAGGCATTCCTTGGGCTCCCGGGTGAGTTGCGCTGTGTGCCTGGTCACAAAGAGCAAAAATGGAATTATGGATATGTGAAACTCTTCGGTGCGTGCAGTGATAGAGGTATTTTCACGTTATTGTAGCTTTCAAACGATGATAACAGAAGCCAATCAATCCCTAGCTTTGTTCTTCACCAGCAAACCAGTCTTAGCAAGGACGGGTCCTAAACATCCATCCATTGGCGATGGCATCACCTGGCCTTGCCCCACACCCAATTACGCCGAATACGCCCATCGCGCCCATCACGCTACACACACTACACATGTTGAGAGAACAATATGAGAGAGGATCAAATACCAGAACAACACGCCAAAAGCGCCAGAGACGCTCATTTTGCGATATCGGGAAGCTTCTTTGTGAACTGCTCAGATAAAATAGATATGAAGCATCTATAAGAGGAGCTCATGGCTGCGAGGGAGAAGGGAGCGTCCTCAACAAAATAGATTCAAGTTCTCAGTCATTAAGATCTTATTGGATCGAAAAATTCATTTTCTATCAGTTCCGACCACAAGATGGCCTCAAACACCTTCAAGCAGTACTGGCTCCCCGAGAAGAAGGGATTCGATTGTCTGACCCTCCGCGATGTTCCTAAGGAACCTCCCAAGTTTGGCCAGATATTGGTCCGAATCAAGGCTGTTTCTTTAAACTGGAGGGATGGAATCTTGGCGATTGGGACGTATCCTTTCCCTGGACCGGATGCGGTGGTTCCCGGGAGTGATGGTGCCGGTTTGTTGGCCCCAGACTCCTTGACACTGCCCTTGAGTTTCTGACATGAATATATAGGCATTATCGAAGAGATTGGAGAGGGAGTAACTGGGTGGAAGGTTGGGGATCGAGTCTTGGCCAACTTCACCCAGGACCATATTGCCGGACGCTTGACACACGAAATCGGTCTTACTCAACTAGGCGGCGAGATCCAGGGTCTTCTGGGCGAATACTTCATCTTCCCCCAGACAGGCGTCGTCAGGATCCCAGACTATCTCTCCTTTGAAGAAGCATCTTGCCTTCCTTGCGCTGCACTGACTGCGTGGAACGCCTTGTACGGTCTCACGCCGCTCCGGCCTGGCCAGACGGTTTTGCTTCAAGGCACTGGTGGTGTTTCGACTTTTGCGCTGCAGATTGCCCATGCTGCAGGGGCAAAGACCATTGTCACGTCTTCATCTGATGAGAAATTGGAGAAGGCTAAGCTTCTGGGTGCAACACATGTCGTCAATTATAGGAAGACACCTGACTGGGCGGCGGAGGCCATGAAGATCACCAACGGCAAGGGAGTTGATTACATTATCGAGATTGGCGGAACCTTGACGCTTCAAGCATCATTTGATGCAATTGGATTTAATGGGCAGATCAACTGTATTGGCCATATCACCAACCCGGACCCTTTGGGGGCCGGCAAGGAGCTTAGAGGCCCAGACGCAGCATTCCTTGCCCTCGATAGGCTCTGTGTTGTTCGCGGTGTAGTTGTTGGTTCCCGAGAGCAGCTCCAAGACATGCTGGCTTGCTTCGAAGCCAAGTCAATTAGGCCTGTCATTGACCGGGTCTTCTCGTTTGAAGAGACCAGGGCGGCGTACGACTACCTCTGGAGCTCAACCCATACTGGCAAGGTTGTCATCCGTATCCCATAGATAGGATAACTAGATAGGTAATAATTGACGAGAAAACTCTTTATAAAAATGGCTTAAGCTTGACTATCGGAATGTACGTGAGCCCAGAGTGTCATGACTAATGCAACATAGCTGAGTGCAATTAGACGCCAAAAAGTGCCATGTCGCCACACCTCGTTCGGTCTTTGATCTGCCTCCACACTCAATCACCCTTCCAACCAACTGCAACGACTCCTCAAACCCCAAGATGCCAGAGAAAACACTGCAAAGGAGGAAAGGCTCTAAGCATGACAAGACAGGGTGTTTAACCTGCAGGTACAGGTTAGCATACAGCCCCAGGCTGCCCTTCCAGCTCAGGTCATGCTCTGCCGGGCAGAGTTTCGGCAGCTCTTCTAATGATAACAACACGCTAACTTGGTAGCCAGGCGAAAGAAATGCGTGGAAAACACGTTTCCAATATGCGGGGCATGCGCCAGGCTTAATCTCGAGTGCATCCGGGATCCGATCCGTCGCATTGTGCCTCCTTCTCGGAGTTCCGTGACGGAAGAGAGTGGGAGAGCGAAGGAGACTCTTCCTCAGCCGGTTCCACAGTCGACGGCCTTAGCGAGGCCATTGGCCTGCCTACCACTCCAGATGGAGTCACTGAGGAGACGCCATGCCATGAATCACTATATCAAAGTTCTTTCAGAGCTTTTGACTGTCAGCAAGCACAACAACTCGTTTCTCTCTGGTAAGATCTCCTGTCTACCATTCTGATACTCGTTGCTCACTTAACTCAAGACTTTCTACCCATGGCCATAGAGTCACCGGCGCTTGCCGAAGCTTTAATCGCCTACGCCTCGGGTCACCTATCTTCGTTGGATCCGTCTTATACCACCGTATCACTTGAGGCACGGTCCAATGCCCTGCAAGCGTTGTCAAAAGTGGTGTGCCTCCCTGCAGACGAACCTGCCCTTACTGAGCCTACACTCTCCGCTTCTCTCATCTTGTTAACTTCTGAGGTGTGCTTGGGAAGTCACTCGAGCTGGTATAACCACCTAATCGGTGCAAAACATCTCATCTCATCGGCCCAACACCAGGCAGGACGAGGACCTGATGCCCTGAAAGCTACTTCTGAAGGCCGGTGGGTGTTGCGCAATTTCGCATACCATGATATCATTGGGAGTGTGACTCTCGGCACCAAGCCTTTACTGGACGCGGGATATCTCGAGGGTATCACAGACGAAGTCGACACCTACTTAGGCGTTGCTTCGGCGATACTTGCTTTTATTGCCCAAACCACCAGCCTAAGCTGGGAAGCGGCCGAGTCCGAGGTTCCTACTCGCTTTCAGAAATATCTGGCCATCGAGGATGCCCTCAAAAGTTGGCGATGTCCAGATGATACCCCTCCTACTCTTGAGGCTGTGGCTTCTGCCTACCGTGGAGCTGCTCTTATACATCTATACCGAAACATGCGACAGTGCCCACAACACAGCGAAATGCTTGCCCAACAAGCCATGACAGATGTTGATCTGTCATGGACCACTCTACAAGACAGAATCAACGCAGAGGTTTCAAGCGTTCTTACGAGCGTTGCAAGAGTCCCGGCTGACGACGTTGGTGAAGCCTCCCTCCTATTTCCCCTCTTCATCGCGGGAGGTGAAGTCACGGACAGTGGCCAGATGGAGGCCGTTAGATGGAAGCTTCAAAGCTCATTTCGAAAACGCCGGTTCCGTAATATTTCAAGGGCCCTCGAGGTGCTTGAGGAACTTTGGGCTTTGCGATTGATGACTGAGGATGATGGTGTTGACCTGGACTGGGAGCATACTTTAAGAACTAGCGCTGAGCCACTTCTCTTGACTTGAGACAACAGTCTCGATAAAGCGATTAAGTAGAGCTTTAGGGTCACCGAGCATAGAACATTTGTCGTACGTCTATGGGTCCCACCAACCTTCCACTTGATCAACCCACGCAAGTTTTCAGCCCTTGGTTGAGCGGATACGTCAGTTCAAGATGTTCAATTCTACCCAACACGACCAAGCAGCGCCGCTGCCTTGATACGCTTAGCGAGTATTGCACCCTATCTTTTCAGTTTCGTTGGTCATGGCCTCAAAATGCAGTTGGCTGGCCTTGCCCCGTAGGATTTCGGAGACCATCCAAAGCCACCAGCATGAACAATATCCGATAGATCGATGAGTACTCCGCTCTTCCAATTCTTTTCGAGAGGCGAAGAATTATGCCCGAAGCCAGAAAGCCAGAAGAACTCGTCGACTTTTTCCACCGTCGTCGAATCGTTTTCACCCTCCTCGACGAATTCGTAAACAATGGCAAAATACTCTTTGTCGGGGGAAAAGTCGCGATTGATCTTGTCAACAACCAGACTTGGTGCCCATAGTTTCGGAGGCATATCAAGGAAATTCTGGCCGTTGAACTTCAACCAGCCGTAACAGTTCCTCATCCGCGGGATCGAGGTTATCGCGGTAACCTCTGACGCTTCGGCAGATGCCCATAGGTCGCGCCCTTCATTTGAAAAGGCGTGAATGTTATCAAGTGCATCATACTTGGTTTCAGGCTTAGCTTTGACGAGAATCGAAGCTGAATCCGCTGAAGCTTGCTTCACTGCCGTCTTCATCATTTGAAGGAGAGCAGCGTTCTGACATTCCCGCTGCACAGCGAAGTAGTGGTAGAACTCAGGCGGCTCGGCATCCCAAAACTATTAATTGAGTAAGCTGGTGTGCCTAGCGAGAACCAAGAGACCAGACTCGCTCACCACTTTCAGAACAAAGGGCCCATCCCCTTTGAACCACACCTTCCAGACGTACCCATCAAGTCCACCACCGAGACGAGAGGAGGATTCCCAGTCAATATCGGCCAGGTCAAAAGGACATCGCCGCAGCCGAGGCAAATCGAAATCTTCTGCGGAACAACTGGGCGGACCCTCCATCAGCTCGTCATCGCGAAATGGGGCCGCCTGCGCCCTTGCTTGTCTTTTGTTCACAGGGGGTCGGTAGAGTTGTGCAGCACGAAGCCGAGCGATATGGTCTTCTATGCGAGGCCGGGAAAGACCATGGTTCATGATTACATTGATAGAGAGGCGGTGCGGAGGGAAGTTGAAGGCTGCTGGAGTGGGTAAGGAGAGAGGGGTGTTGTGAACTGGGATATCACGTGAACATCGGCCTCTACTACCTGACCATCTCACTTCCAATACCGACCTACCTACCTACCCAGCACCACACTAAACGCCATATGAGACGGAATGCAGAAGAAAGATGCCTTTACCAACTAAGAAACTGCGTTTCGATGTTCGGATCAAGAGCTCTTCATGGTATCTTGAGCCTATTGTCAACGAGTGAGAACGAACGATTGGTGGGATTTCGCTGCTCTGGTTGAGTTTTGGCACCCAGGACCAGATATGGCTTTGTTATTACCGACACACATCGCGTGCCTTTAAGGCTCACCCGACAAGCTACTACTTCTGGCTTGGCCCAAGGGCGCGGACGAAGACAGACCACTATTCACCAGAGGTACACCTCGGATAGTACCATGGCGTCAAGTTCGTCATATCAGGACGATGATCCCCTAACGTGGGAATTTTGTAATCCCGAATACGCAATTATTCCCTGGGGATCTCATGGAAATGGACGCCTCACTGTTAAACTGGCTCTTTGGTGCTTGGCCATGATGGCTACAAATGGGGATAGATGGATCGACTATTCGTATCCTAGTCTCGACAGCTGGCGCGGCGCAGACAAAGGCTATGTCCACAACACCTCAGATGCTACCAAAAAGAGGCTTTCCGATGGTGATTCCTACCAGGAGCCAGATCCTGATAGGGCCAGGAGAGAATTTCCTGGAGACCAAATGCCGCCTGAGGCCGGTGTAACATCCCAGCATGATTACACTCGGCCGCCAGGAAGTCAAGCCATCGATCCTATGCCTCAGTCCAGCCAGCCTAGAGTTCCTCTCAACGAAGCTATCTCCCAGAATCCCAGCGCGACAACCGAAGAGGGTGTCAGTAGTGGCGATGTCAATGAGGCCGGGGATCAGAATGATGGGACAGTGGTTGTATCTTCTCGGCGCTCTGGTCGACGAAAGGAAGTGAGGATTCAGCGTCATGTATTGGGGCGAAAGTATTACTTTGTGAATGCCAGCGGATCCAAAGTCGACACCACCAAGAGAGAGTGGAAGCGAGTCGAGGATGGGTATGAACTTCAGGGCCAGAGGCATGTGTATTTCACAAGGGAGTTTCCATAATCGCAAATATCGATGAAAGATGCCATGCAGATTCGCTTACCCCCCCTATCTGAACACGGGCAGTTTCCTTTCTCGATACCAACCAGATCCCTTCATCTTTGTTTGTCGAAGTTGCTCCGACCTTGATGGAGACCAGAGCAGCAGCCAACACAAACCTCAACAAAAGCTAGGCTTAAGACTTACACCCAGGCTCCAATATACAAGGAAGACACTAGAAATCATCATTGCGTAAATAAGCATTCTGGAATCGCGGAGGACTATTTTCGAAGCTGGCCGCATCTCCCAAAGGTGGTAGAAGCATCTCGGCCCTTCGTCATCAACAAACTTCCACTCCAGGATAAGGTTAGGGCACTGATTCGTTTAACTCAGGGTACTGAGGGGAGTGTATATACAGAAAGTCTAACCTGAAGCAACGTAATCCGATAGAAAAAGGCTGAAGCAAGGCATCAGAGTATTGGAACAGCGATCTCAGGGGTTCATGGTTACTTCTGTCATGTTAAAAAAACAAAGCATGTCACGCCAATATCAGGCAATCAAACAGTGGCGACTTATAGATTGAGTAATTCCTTCCTTCTGTTTGCAAGGTAATAAATGCCATGTTCAATCTGACCTCACGGTGTAAACAAAGAGTTGAGTTCTCCCCGCGCAAACGGGGGCAGTGATAGATACTTTGATCACAAACTTAGTCAATTGCTCGGCGTTTTTTCTCAAACGCGCGCAATCTCTGCGCCATTATAACTTTTATTGTATTATTACCCCGAAAATTTAGCGTTTGCCTTTGCTTTACCGTTTCTCGCCTATTATTCTTTGCGTTGCCCTCGCAACACCTATGCAGCTCTGAGCCGTCACTGCAAACGCCTTTGGCGCCCCCCTTCAACATTCACTTCTCAATGAGGTAGCCAATCCGCCGAATTCAGGCGCAAAGTTAACTCACACGGTTGGAAGAAGCCTTCCTTCACCTTCCTTCTTCCTTCCTTTCTTTCTATTTCCACATCACATCACACAGCATCACAAGGTATGTTTCCCTTATGCTTTCATCTACGGTTGCCTAACTTAGTTAACTCAACAATCTAGACCCCATCACTCTCTCTGCCTTGGGTTCACCTTGGCTCCTCATCGAAAGGATGCCAGCATCCTACATTAACCTCGAGCAAGAGGACGAGGTTTGCTTCCTCACCGAGAGGCCATCCGGGTGTGGTGACCGCCAGCGGCGGGACTCGTCTTGCACCATCACGGACGAGTCACCACCAATTTTCGGAACGACGACTGAGGGAGGGATTGACCTCACAGTCGACTTGAGAACCTCAGGCCACCATCTTCTCAATGACGACGAATTTGCACTTGAAAAAGTGCGGGTGGCCAACTACACCATCCAGCCTGGGACGTTTCTCCAAGTTCACGAGTTCGACTCAGGAGACTACCTTGTCCAATTCGTCCTCGTCAAGATTGTGGTTCGGTGCACAGACTCCGGCGAAATCAAGATCCGCGGCATCCCTTTCACCAGACTTCGCTCGGCTTGGGGCAAGCTCCCCAGAAAGGCTCACGAGGTTTGCATGCTGCTCTCCTACAACCAAGATGATCCAAGTGCATCTGAAGAGTTTGTCGATATCGGCCCATCCTCCGTCATCAAACCCTATCCCCTTCTCACCACCAACGCCCTTTATCCCCGCTTCAACCGGACAATCTTCCACCCTGAGCACCGAGAGGCAAGACGCCGCCCAGAGAAACAGTCTACCCACTTGACCTGCCGTTAGAAGCTGGAGGTCTATTTCATCGGACAGGGGAGCCGAAAGAGACAGACTGGGGAAGCCTTTGTTCGCGTTCACGAGTCCGAAGTTCTCGAACCAAAGTATCGAATCTCTGAGGAAGTCCTCAGCAACCAATGGCGAGGCACCAGAGTTAAAGGAGGGTCATGGGCGCCAACCTTCAATTCCCAACAGGACTGCATAAACCTTGATGACGACAATGGAATCAAGCAAAAGAAGATCCGAGCCAAGGGCCAGAAGTACACTCTTTTCGACTCTTGTTCAGGCGCGGGCGGAGTCTCACGAGGAGCTCTGATGGCTGGATTCAAAATCCAATACGCAATCGACAAAGCTCCAGAAGTTTGGGACACATACGAAACAAACTTCCCCGACACTCATCTCTTCAAGATGTCTCTTGATGAGTTTCTCTCGTTCGACAATCAACACATGCGTGTCGATGTCCTCCACTTCTCCCCTCCATGCCAATTCTTCTCCCCTGCCCACACCCACGCGTCGGCCCAAGACGACGACAACATCTTTGCTCTCTACAGCTGCAATCAGTTGCTCAAGAAACTCAGACCTCGTATCATCACCGTCGAGCAAACTTTTGGCCTCACACATCACCGTCACGCCGAATACTTCTACTCCTTTCTCGCCGACTTCACGCAGCATGGTTACTCGGTGCGATGGAGAGTTATCAAACTCTGCACTTGGGGCGCAGCACAGGACCGAAAGCGTCTGATTCTCATTGCCGCCGCTCCAGGGGAGCGACTTCCTCCTTTCCCTCAGCCTACTCACGGTCCGGAAGCCGGCTTGTTGCCCTACAACAGCATTGGCAAGGCCATTCGAGGCATCCGACCAGGCGATGATCTTCATGACCTTGACAACGTGAAATACTACCAGCCCCGACGAGCTCCATACGATGCGAATCGTCTTGCCGGAACCATCACCACCCGTGGAGGTGACTTTTACTACCCAGATGGCACACGCAACCTGACTCTGCGAGAGTATGCGAGCCTCCAAGGTTTCCCCAAAAACCATCAATTCCTTGGAACCATGACATCCATCAAGAGACAGATTGGAAATGCCTTCCCCCCCAACACAGTCCGCGTCCTCTACAAGCACATCGAGCAGTGGCTTCTGAAGGAAGATGGCATGCTACCCTACGACGACAGCCGAGATGCTGTTATCATCGACGATGACGACACCGATTCGACGACCAACCTCACTGATGTCTCTGAAGATGAATTTCACCGTTCACCGGAGATGATGGAAGGGAGCGTGATGCCTGTGGGCAGCAACGAAGGTGCTAGAACCGATTGGCGAGCTGGGAGCGTGGTCATCGACCTGACCTAATCCCCAACAACTCCCCTCAATTGGGATCACGGAGATGGAAAGTTACTGGCTTGACCTTTTTCCACAATGTTCGATGCGGTATCACATCTGCATGTCAGTGTTTGGGAGGCCCATTCTAGGCTACAGAATGATGGCTATCTGTTGGGGGAGGCAGGGTTGAGCATGAGTATGGTATTTGGCACACGTTCATAGGCCGATGGAAGCTGCGAGTAAAGGCAAGATGCCGGTACATAGCTGTCACGAAAAGTATTTGATTGATTTTTCCATTTTACCTTTGCTGTTGACCTGACAACGACTGTGAATCATCACCAGACACCGTTTTACACCTTTGCCGGGTGCCTCTCAGGGGCGTGTGTACGTGCACCGCCTCCCCTCAACAAGCTGTGATTCACTGTCTCGAAGGCAATAGAAGGATATTTCTCAGAACTCTCCTTAGATTTTCCCTCACCTGCATGTGCATGAATCTGACAGTGTTGGGGCTTGACGGTGTTGACAGTGGCAGCCTACGCGCAAACGCAGTGCAAACTGCCTTCCTCGTTTGAACATAAAGTCCCCTCCTCCCACCTTCCTGCCTCTCTTCTCTCTTTCCCTCCTTCACCATCATTCAGGACTTCAGATTTCTTATCTACAGCTTCTCACACGTTCAACTTCAATCAACCATCGATTCATCGAGTTGTCTGAAGGCACTCGAGACCACGAGAAACCCATCACCCATTTTATCTTCATCTGACCTTCTCTTCTCTCTATTCTTTTTCCCACTTTCCCGCCTTCCTCCTACTTTCACAATGTCCGTCGTGACTACTGTGACTCAGCGGGTCTCCGAGAAGGTTGACAGAAACACCCACGACTCTGCTTTAGTTTCTCGGTCGCTAACTATGAATGCGCAGACCGTCGCTCCTATGCATACGTTCCCCGTCACAGACCTTTATGTCTGGAGACACGAAGAGGGGACCATGATCGAAATGCAGAACGAAGAGGCTATTCTGAAGCGTTTCAATCAGCAGCGCACACCATTCCAGTCTTGGCCTCTCGCCCCTATCCCCGGTCTCACGACTTCGTTTGCCAAGTCTTGGTTGTTCCTTGTCAAGGTCCCCAAGATGACCGAGGACATGATCTTCCCTGCCATGGCTGATCATTTCACTGTCGACATGGATGCCACCGTTGAGAACGCCAACGGAGTGTTCTCCCTCGTTCACCTCCACGCGACACGCATTCCCAACCCTTACGAAGACGCGAAGGATCTCCCGAACTCAGCCGTCTCCAGATGCGCTGCCTTCAAAGTTGACGTGCCCCGATCGTGGGAGGATAAGAATGGAGAACACATTGAGCTCGATCTGATGGGCACAATGCAATCCGTTTCCTCCCTCGACGACTTCCCGAATCTCAAGCTGGATGAAGCGCATTGTCAGAGCATCACCATTACCTGGGATACATACTCCAACACTTACGAGGCCGAACTCGCTGCTATGCGACGCTTTATTGAAGAGCCGCGACTAGAGGAGCGACAACTCTCGGCCAAGGCGAAAGCTGCCTTTGAGATGATACTGGACCTTAAGACCCCGTTCAGGACCCATTACAACCTTCACGAAGTGTTTCCCCATCTCAAGAATCCTTTGTACCCAGGTCATCGGATCCCGGACCTTATCGTTCAGCGCTTCAAGTCATTCAACGCAGACCATCGTGCCGCCTTTGATGGCTTGACCAAGATCCCCAATGGTCTTTACTTCGTCAATGGATGCCCAGGTGCGGGAAAGACAGAGTGGAACATGATTGTCTCCGCAATGATCCAGTCCAAGCGCCGTCCTGGATCCAAGAAGCGCCATAGTCCTATCCTCTTTGTTGTGGACTTGAATAAGACAGTTGACGATGCGGCGGATCGCTACTTCAATCTCTGCAAGGCTGCAGGTTTGAAGCTGCGCATCGTTCGCATGCATGGATGGCCATACGAGATGCGAAACAGCGCAAAGCTGAACGGATCTGGATCTGACAAGGACGGTGACTCCAGCTCTGACCCAGACTTCACCAAGAAGTTCTTGACAACTGCAAGCCTCGCCAAACACACCAACGTTGAGCGAAACCCCAACAAAGCCCCTACACTAGATGAGGAGGCCTGGGAATATTACGCCCAACATCAACATGACTGCTTCGCACCTTTGAAGAAGGTCTTGGCAAGAATGGATGATGGTGAGGTGTTGACCAACAACGATTGGAAGTCACTTCGGAGCCAAGTCTCGATGCTGTACCGTGCTGTCCTCGCACAGACAGACTTCATTGCCACTACACCTGTTGCAGCATACGGTAACTTTTCAAAGCTCTTCCGACCTGATGTTGTGTTCATCGATGAAGCCCCTCATGCACGAGAGCTCACTACACTGATTCCGATAGCTTTCTTCGAGCCAATCGCCTGGATTCTTACCGGTGATGTCAAGCAAACCCGACCATTTGTCAAGAGCGGCGACCGACGCGACGCCGAGAGGAAGGGACTCAAGTTCAACCCTCATGCTGAACAGATGCGCGTGAGTCTCATGGCTCGGGCGGATATGGTGGGCGCAATCAACAGTAAGCTGTTGGTGAACAAGCGTGCATTCGGTAATCTTCACAAACTTCCCTCCACTCTCTTCTACGATGGTCAGATGAGTTCTGGTTACACCGAGGCCGAGAAGTATCCTGCCACTGTACAATACCTGAAGGGATATCTCGAGAAGTTGGGCGAGGGCAAGAAGAACATGAACGAGAACCGCGCCGTCATCGCTTTGACACAGAGTCGAGAAGAGACTCACCGAAGCAGTTTCTGGAACCCCGCTCACCACAACTGGGTAGTCGGCGAAGTCAAGAAGCTGTTGACAGACTCGGAGTTCAAGAGCCTGACAGACTCGACAAAGCCTGGGACCATCATGATTCAGGTACCTTACAGCGCCGCGATGCGCCAGTACTTGGTGGAGGTCAAACAGTGGCCCGCCAAATGGCAGGAGCGAGTCGAGGTCATGACTGTCGACAAAGCCCAGGGGAACCAGGCAGATGTTGTGTTTCTCGACATGGTCCGAACTACGAAGGCGGGGTTCATGAATGAGCCGCAGCGACTTAATGTCGCAATCAGCAGAGCTCGACAGGCTGAGGTGATTGTCATGCATCACAATATGACTTGGCGTATGAGCCGAGGTCGACCTGTTCGAGCTGAGTACACTTCCAAGATCTGGGATCAGGCTGTGGCGGACAAGAGACTGTTTTCAATCAATGTTGAGAAGTGATCAGGAGGATAGAGAATGGTTGTGGATGCGGATGGCATGGAGAATGGCGATAAATTGTCTGATCAGTTTGGTTTGGTTTGGTTGGTTGATTCTGCAAGTTGGCTTTGTTTTTTTCTATAATGGATGAGAGCACGAGTTTGATAGACAGAGGCATGTATGTCCTTGATCGAAAGAATACAGTATTGTCTGAACAACAGGATATCGCACCCATTGTGAATGCTATGATGTTGGAACAAAGTTGAGGTGGTGATGCTAACTTAGAGGCTATGTGCCTCCTAACGCAGGGGGCTTTCATTGGAGGCCACGCCACTTGGAGACAGGGCGCGGCAGTGGGGAAGACCCGTCTTGATGGCACACGACTGGGTAGGGTTCGGAGAATTAGCTGTTGGCCAGTATCATGAAGAGACAATCGCCATGAGGCCTCAGTGAGAGGCATCCGAGGCTTAGCTTTGTATCGGTTGCGTCGCGTTGGAACCAAACCTGGACAAGACAAGACGCACAATGGAGACACCAACGGAGAGGCCGGAGGTCCAAGGATGTTTCATGGGAGAGCGACGCGAGATTATAGCCCCCAAACGCGCGAGAGGGCACGCCAAGACAAGGGTATCACTTTGCTGCACGAGGGATCCAGTGGGACAAGGGCCAAGATGTGTGTCAATTGCAGATCGGTGGCTGTGGCGCAGCCTCGGCCTCGACACCAAGATGGTATCGAAACATGTTTGAGGCTAATAAGTGGATGTGGGTGACTTTGAGAGGGGATTCCTGGATTGCCTTGAACGAATTCGGGTCTTCTTTCAAGATAATTCTCACATGCCAATAATGGGGCTAACGGAGGAATTGCTAAGGATGGCCTGGTTGGCATGTCACATAGCGAGATTGGTGTCAAGGCCGCGTCTTTTGGTGTCTCCAGGTCCGCGTATTATTTGATGTTAGTCGGGAAGATGGCAAAAGCCCGACCCGATGCCCTTTGGATAATCCGGATGTTACTCGGCCAGAGAACTCTTGATGCCCCAGATGTTGATGCGAGGCCTAGAACAAGACAATGCGCGAAGTGGCGATCCATTGACCATCGAAACCGAGCAAGATCATACCACCTATAGGTCGGATTGAATAATTGCGAGTAAAGATGAGGGCATCTCATCGATATCCGTACGATCACCACGCGGGTATGTGCGATTGGATGTAGTTGGGGGATGACAGCATTGGGCCAACGCCTCGCAGATACGTGCTGCGGTCAGCCGAGACTATGACGGATCCAAATGTCAATTGACGGCTTCCTGAGAAGTCGCGTTCAAGAAAAGAAACCAGAAGATGGGCATAGCCTCGTAGGGCTAGCAATCCGTGGTCAAAGCTACATTACAGGTGAGCAGCGCATCGTAGGTCGATATCGGGAAGTCGGGGATCCAGGGCCGCGGAGGTTGAAGTGACATCTAAGGTGGACAATACTGAATAAAAACCTGCGATATATGGTACTCATTGGATGAGCGTCATCGTCGGCAGTCGTGAAGTCACGGACGGGCCGATATTTTGTGCCGCAGCAGTTGATTGCTTCAGTCGTAATACCAAACCCGCAGCGAATCCATCAGTGTCGCAGCAGCTTAGGCCAACTTCCCAGTAGCCAAGTCGGAGTCAAGCTTTTGGTAGCGCTTATTTGCTTATTTTGTTCGCAGACAGGGATAGGATGGACACTCAGCTCGGTGCTTCGTGCTCTTGTCCACGTGCCTAGAGCGAGCTCATGAAACCAACCTCTTCTCTCGTATCATCTCATCAGGGAATCAAAGCCAAGTGGAAACATTTACACGCCAGACACGCGGGGGGGCGTGGAGAGTGAAGAGAAAAGGAGCAGTTTTGGGCAATTGTGGCTCAGACCCGACCTAACGGGGTTTTCGGGTGCCCGCCGCCCGGGAAGCGGGGCCCACTTTGCCCAAGTACCCAATCATGACGCGCCTGTGTCCAGCAGCTCGGCCCCGTCTCTGCAGTGGTTGGGAGGCTGAGAAAGGGCCCTGAAGAGAGACCGGTTGGTAGGAAGGCGCGATAAAAAAAAAAGCTGGGCATTGGGGAAGGTGCGGCGCTGCTGTGCGGTGCGTTGCGCTGCTCCTGCTTCGCTGCGGCGGCGCTTGCCCTGCTGACGACCGACCGACCGCCCCCGGATTTTACTTGGTCGTGCCATGCTTCGTAGGCCTCTCACCTCATGCATCTCTTCCTTTCTCCCCATGATGCCATGAGTCTCTAAACTTATATCCCCCTTTCCCCCTGTCTTGCTTCCTTTCCCATCCCCAAACCCTTCGGGAAAGCACGAGCCTCTCGCCAGAGGACGGGCCCCATTTCACTTCTCCTCTGTCGCCGAGCATAGAGAGCGGCGGCGGCCTCCCAAGACGCCCCAAACCACCTAACAGCGCCAGCCGCCCCGCCCGTCAATCCAATCCAATCCAGCACACGAGTACCGAGAGCTATCAGCATTCGATCTTCTCAACCACAAAACACCAGCTTCCGCAAGCTCTTGCCTGCTGTTGCTGGGCCCCGATTCGATTTTCGCATTCGCCACGCGCGCGCCCTCGACCTCGGCGGGTTTCGATTCGATGGAAGCTTTGCCAGGTCTAAGTTGGAGGAAGCGCCATGTGATGGATCATCTTGTTACGAGGGGAGCCTTGGCTAAGCGCGGCCTCAGCAAAGGAGGTATTGCCGGCGTCGTCGTCGGTGTCGTTGTAGGCGTTTGTCTCGTCGCCCTCTGCCTCTATCCCTTTGTCGTTCGACGCAACCGACGACGAAGAAAGCAACTCGCTTCTGGTATTTGCGACCCTGAGACGGCTGAGGTTCCAACCTCGGGCGGCACCGCTGTCGACGACCAACGTCATGTATCCTCGCAGGACTCGTTTAAGCCCTCAAGAGAGCTCACCCGTGGTGGACTAGAAGATGGCTCGGTCAAGGACTTGCCCTGGGGTCATCATGATGGACTAGCACAGCCCAACGGACAAGCTCAAGCTCAAAGTCATCCAGGCCACGCGCCTCGGCTCGACACCAACATACCTCCTTCTTTCGGCCCCAGCGACGCCCAGGTTGCCAACGACTCAATACCCCGATCAACTCCGTTCGACACTTACGATGGAGAGTACATGCCCCAATCCATTGGCGATGCCCATAATGGCGTCCTCAGCGGAACAAACGCCGACTACTACAGTCCATCGATACCATCAGAAGCATTCGGCATGTTTACGGAACCTGAACCTGTCGCTCAACCCCAACGGACTCTATCAGGAAGTAGTTCTTTGCGGCACCACTTGAAGCTCATGTTTAGTCGCAAGAGCACGCGAGATCAGTCCATGGGTTCGCCAACATCGCTTTCACTCGCCGATGTTCCTGAGAATGCGCCCGATATGCCTCGATCTACTCACGATGGTCCTTTGCAACGAATCACAACTGCAGGTGATCCCACTGAATCTCCGACCGAAATAACACCCCCAGCCGGCGAGTCGTTGCCAGCACCCTCTGGCCAGGCTCTTGGCTCCCCGATTGTTCTCCCGTCTACCCTGCCCAAGGGGGCTGTGCAAACTCCTCCAGACTCCCCGCCGACCACCTTCAAGTTCAATGCGTCTCAATCCCCGCCTACTAATCCCGCTCCTGGTACGGTGAATCCTATGGATATTATGCCAGCCTCAACTGAAAGCGAGGTATGGCATCGAACAGACTACCAGATGTACATGGCTCAGTCATCACCAAACCCTGGCCCTGTGCCAGAAGCGTCGCCTATGCCGGAAGGTCCATCGCATCGAGAAGAGCCAACAGACTCGCCCTCTCCGTTGACGCTGCCTCCTAACAATCCTCAACCCCTCCCGATCATCCAGTCGCCTACACCCACGCGGAACGAGTCGGTGCTCAAGCAAGAGCCTATCGAGATGCAAGATGTGCAGATGGATGAGATTCCCTCACACTCTCATCTAAGTCCTCTGCCTGACCTCAATTCCCGACACGCCAGCTATCCCTCTGATGCCTCTACTCCTCAACCGGGTCCCGCCTCTACCAATGCTTCGACCTTGAACACTCCCGCTACACAGCTTGATACGCCATCCCCCAACTCGGTGGCTAATTCATCCGACTACCAACACAGTGTGTCACCGAGGAACGGCGCGACCAACTTGTCCCCCAGGAACGGTGCCTATGCGTGCGATGAGCCTGGATGCCACCAGGTGTTTGACCAGCCGCATAAGCTCAAGTAAGTGTATTGCGCTCCGTCGCGGCGACAAGCCAGCTAACCTTTATCAGGCACCATCAGCGATATCACACCAGGGATCACAAATGTCCTTACCCTAACTGTCATAAAGGATTCGGAACCAAAACTCATCTTCAGCGACACATCAATGATCGCCACGAAAAGAAGAAGAAGTTTCATTGTTCAGTACCAGGCTGCGACTACTCCAAGCAAGGCGGCAAGGGGTTCCCTCGCAAAGACAATTGGAAACGACATATGACCAAGATTCACAACGTGGCGCCCATCAACCTACCAGAGCCCGAAGAGGTCGACTATGAGATGAGTGGCGTGTAGGACAGGCTTGTTGGCCCGTTTCCGCCCGCCAATATCGCCAAGAGCGAATTACTGCCTCCTTGAGGACAGTGGTATTGAAGAATTGGAGATTTTTTTGAGGATTAATTTTACCTGACAGGAACAAAAACTTGTTCGAAAAAAACGAACGTGGACGGCTGGCGTTGGATTGCTATTAGAACCTTGCATGGCTGGGACATTGAGCGAGAACGGAGAGGTTATCCGGATATCAAGCCTTGTCCTGGGCCACCACTTACTTGACTTTATTGTTTTCTTAGAGCGACTTGATTCTTACTCTCGTTACAACACAGCGTCTATGGGTATTGGAGGCAACCGGTCCACCAAAAAAAGAAGCGTCAAACCGACGTGTAGGACAAGGGCGTTTGGGCAAGGGAAGAAAGGACCGTCTGTCTAATAGAAGATGGACCAGGAGTATTCGTTCTCGGGTATCTATTTTGGTACAGCCTTGTACAACTGAGGAATTGATAAGAACAGCCAAACTGGCAACAAGTTTCCCCATATGCATGTGTCTAGCTCAACTCCTTGATGATCTTCCTGACAAGCTTCTTTTGATCTTCCACGTCTAACCTCTTCTCGTCCGTCTCTTGTACTGCTCTGCCCACTGCGATAACCGTCTTTGTGCTTTCACTGTCGACCCAAAACTTGCCATTCCGTCCTGTTGCCGTCTCAAACTGTAGTCCTGCAGCACCAAGCTCCTCCAGCACCGCGATGCGCCCTTCTTGCACGCTCTTTGGCATCATGAGGCGTCGAGCCATTCCGAGTGACACGTTGAAGAGCATACCGCCGGTCAGAGGTCCTAGCCCGTCTGCCTTGCCCGTTGAAGACGACACACACTCGATTTCTGGGTCCATGTGGCGGTTGGCGAGAGCGACGCGCGCGTAGACGAGAGCACCAGGGACGAGCTGAGGACGAGTCTTTTTTGTGGCGCCCTCGAAGGAGAGCTGGGGGAGGAGAGCGGGAGCGGTGTAGTCGGAGAGGGTTACGTAGAAGATCTCTGCGGCGCTGCGCTGGACGGTTCCGATGACGAGTTCACCGACACGGGGGGTGTACTGAAGACGATTAGCTCGGGCGTCTTGCGTATTTTGAACTATAAGTAGTTCTTACCCTTCCTCGAGCATTCTCTACACGAATTGCATTCTTCTGTCGGTCTGTGACGAGCTGGCCGGCGATTGTAGGAACGATGTCGTTGGGCGGAACATGGCGCAAGCCGGGACCAAGACGGAGAGGCTTCTTGGGATGTGAGGGGATGTGAGACGGATCAATGTTGTCGCCTGGCAGCACGAATACAGCTTCAGAGGCCATTTTGGACGTATTCTGCTGTGGGAAGCTCGTTGTTAAAGTGATAGTCAAAGGAGAGTTCTCGATGCGACAGCCTCAGACAGCCTCGCAACCGTAGAAAACATGAGGACGGATTCGTGGTGGGGCACTGATAACGATAAGAGCGGTACGTACTCGGCTGCCACCAGAAAAATGTGGGCGATTAGCGATTAGCGGGCAGTTTTTTTCCCTGAGGGAAAAGAAACCCCACTACCACCACCATCGCCAACCAAAACTTCACTCACAAACAACCCTCAAAGTCGACGACGAGCAAAAAAAAGACGACCCGGTCTTTTTTTTTTACGCCCTTCCTCTTCTTTCGACTACATCTCTCTTCGAGCCGACCACATGAGTGACAACGCGGGTGCCAAGCCGGGCCCTGAGCCTGGCGACCGAGTCGCCATCGGTATCACCTTTGGCAACTCCAACGGTTCTATTGCCTTTACTGTTGACGACAAGGCTGAGGTTATTGCCAACGAGGACGGCGGTATGTCTTGAAGCCTGCTTAATTGCATTCTATGTTTGCGCTTGAGAATGGTGGCTAACTTTTCTTTGAACAGACCGACAGATTCCTACCGTCCTCTCCTACGTTGATGGTGACGAGTACTATGGTGGCCAGGCCAAGAACTTCCTCGTCCGCAACCCCGACAACACCATCGCCAACTTCCGAGACTTCCTTGGTCAAGAGTACGCCTTTGCCATTGTATCGAGCCTGTAGAAGCCATACTAACTGGAAGCGCCTAGGTTCAAGGCCATCGACCCTACCCACTCTCACGCTTCCGCCCACCCCCAGGATGCTGACGGCTCTGTCGTTTTCACTGTCAAAGACAAGGACAGTGAGGAGGCTTCCACTGTCTCCATCTCCGAGGCCGCTACCCGATACCTGCGACGTCTCGTCGGTTCTGCCTCCGACTACCTGGGCAAGAAGGTCACCTCTGCCGTCATCACCGTTCCCACCAACTTCTCTGAGAAGCAGCGAGAGGCCCTGATCCAGGCCGCCAACAATGCCGGCATTGAGGTTCTCCAGCTCATCTCCGACCCCGTTGCCGCCGTCCTGGCCTACGACGCTCGCCCCGAGGCTACCGTCGAGGACAAGATCATTGTCGTTGCCGACCTTGGTGGAACCCGCTCTGATGTTGCCGTTGTCGCCTCGCGCGGTGGCATGTACACCATCCTGGCCACTGCCCACGACTACGAATACGCCGGTGTCCACCTGGACCAGGCTCTCATGGACCACTTCGCCAAGGAGTTCCAGAAGAAGCACAGCATCGACCCCCGAGAGAACGCCCGCAGTCTCGCCAAGCTCCGACTCGAGTCTGAGGCTACCAAGCGAGCCCTGAGCATCGGTAGCAACGCTCAGTTCAGCGTGGAGAGTCTGGCGGACGGTTTCGATTTCTCTGTCACCATCAACAGGATACGATACGAGATGGTTGGCCGCAAGGTGTTTGAGGGTTTCAACCGCCTCATCGAGGGTGTTGTCAAGAAGGCCGGCCTCGACGTCCTCGATATCGACGAGGTTATCCTGTCTGGTGGTACTTCTCACACTCCCCGTATCGCCAACAACCTCCGCGGTATCTTCCCCGAGACCACCAACATCTTGGCCCCCGCTACCTCCGCCACCGCTATCAACCCCTCCGAGCTCCTGGCTCGTGGTGCTGCTCTCCAGGCCTCTCTCATCCAGGAGTACGAGGCTGCCGACATTGAGCAGTCTACTCACCCCGCCGTCACCACTGTCAAGCACATCTCCAACGCCATTGGTGTCATCACCGTTGGTGCCGATGGTGAGGACGTCTTCACCCCTATCATGCCCGCCGAGACCGCTGCCCCTGCTCGACGTGTCGTCCGCATTCCCGCTCCCAAGGAGGGTGGTGATGTGATCATCAAGGTTGTCGAGGGTGGCACCCACATCAAGGTGACCAAGTCCGAACCCAAGGCCAAGGCCGAGGACGCCGAGAAGGACTCTGATGACGACTCCGACTTTGACTCGGATGAGGAGGAGGAGGAGAAGCGCGAGAAGGTGTGGAAGATCGGCAACCTCCTCGCTGAGGCCGCCCTCAAGGGCGTCAAGGCCGACGGCAAGGTCGAGGTCACGATTAACGTCCTGGCCGACCTCGACGTCACCGTGACCATCCGGGAGGTTGGCGGCAAGGGCGGTGTGCGAGGAAACATCCAGGGCCTGTAAACAGGAACGGCATTATCAGCAAAAAATAGTCCCAACATCAACACATGCGCCATGATTCCTTTGTTTTCACGAATGGGGTATATAACTAGAGAGAGGAAGGATGGATGGATGGAAATGGACGTCTTTTTTAACACAAAACAAAAAGCACGGGTTTTATTGGTAGAATCTAGATGACACAGATAGAGGGAGTTCCGTTGAATTGGGAACGCCAGGGATGAATGAAACGATTCAAGATTTCAAAAAAGTCAAGATTTCGATCAATGCTGTACTCCTCTGTTGAAACCCTTTCGTAATAATGGTACAGTTCAAACTATGTTCTCCAACGCAATATATACCCAGCGCCCATCCCAACTCCCTATGCCCGTCGTCTACATGACCTGTGGATCACCCGGCATCCTCCAGGCGACGAGATCGTTTCGAACGTCATCCTCCCTCACCTCACGGGTCCCCTTAAAGCCCACTTCACGGAGGACATCACTGCTGAGCGACATGGTAGAGGCCATGCTGGCGAGGCTGCGGGAGTGGTCCAGCTCGTGGATACGCACCCCCTTGCGCCGGTTAGCGGGCGTCACGGTGACAGTCGAGAAGCTCCTATCACTCGAGTTGCTGGACGAACGCCGATGGGAGGAGCCGACGGGGCCGTGATTCGGCTGAGCATGTGTTGGTGAGGACGCCGTTGTGGGAGATGTGCCGTGGTGGTGATGTACGTTGAGGTGAGTTGCACGACGAGCGTCACGGGGACGAAGAGTATCGCGATGATCCAAGTCGTCGTCAAAATCATCATCGCCGTCTGTGTCCGGGGAGGCGTTTTGTGGTTTAGTCTTCCAGCCGTTGCCGCCGCTAAAGATGTCCTCGATGACTTCCTCAGCCGACAGCTCAGAGGGCTGACGGCACCATGAGGCGGCGAGGACGCTGCGGTAGAGATCCTGAAGCTCCGCGGTATCTCGTGACTTTGAGATGCTGGGAACGGCTATCAAGAAATGTCAGTCAAGCTAAATGCACGAAATCAAGGGGTAAACCCAAACATACGTCCGGCGTCGTCCTCTACTGATTCGCCCATGATGCCGCCGATACCGCCAAACACGGGGGCCGTCTTGAGAGGAGGAGCAACATAGCTGCGCTCGCCATCGACTTGAACCATAAGAATTCCGATCTTCAAGGTACTGTTGACCTTGCTGTCCTGCATGAGATACCTCCTCACGATGCCATCTTCGACGACATCTGAATCACGGCGGGGGCGTCCTGTCGCGCTCCTAGTCGGGCTGACACCAATACTGCCGCTTCGCATGCGACCAGGCGACGCGACATCCTTACCAAAGGACTCGCTCTCCTCGACGTACTCGCTGAGGTTGAGGCGGACCACGCCAAGGGTCATCTTTTCGGAGATACCAAACTCCTGGACCACCTCGAACTCGATGGGACATTCGGCGAGGTTATTGTTACGGTCTATGGAGATGCGGATAGAAGGCACGAGAGTGACGAAGCTGTAGTCGACCCTGTGGTTGGCGATGGGGCACTTTGCGGTGCGGCCGCGATGCTCGGCGTTCATGGAGTGGGCGAGGTTCCATTTGATGAATGACTGTCCCGAGACGAGAGGGACATTGTTGAGGTCGTAGATCTGAAGAGATAAGTTAATGTCCCTTGCTGAGCTGCTATGGATGAGGATGTACCTTGAGATGAAGCTCGAATTTAGGCTGGTGAGTGTCAACATGGGTTCATTCTTGAGGGTGGAGATGAGACGTCGCTCACCTTTCGAGCCTTGCCAACTTGAGGTTTGAGAAAGTCCATGTTAGCAAGCAATGTCTCTCATTTCATCATGTATCCAAGAGATTTCTCCAAGTCAGAGTAAGCCAAGCTCACTTAAGCCAAACACCGGTTCCAACTGATCGCACCATGCACAGTTTGTCGCATCTCAGCAGAAATGAGGTTGACAAACGCGACCAGCCCCCCACAGAGGCTCAAAAAGACAAACAGGAAAAAAGAGAGGGTAGCGTCATGATAAACGCGGAGAGGGAGGGTCCTTACTTAAAGAGGACATCCTTCCTTGCTGGCGCTGGCGCTGCCGCTCTGGGTTTGGCAGACGACGACGATGCCAACTCTAGTGGCCGTCGGAGCTCGCCCGAACTGTGCGGTGCCCTATCGCCGCTATCTGATGGGCCGCTGACGACGACGGGTTTATTTCACGTGTGGGATGGAGTCAAAGACGGGATCTAAGGTATTTAGCCGAGCGAGGGGACGTTGTATTGGAGTGGGCGATGCGACGGTGCGGCGTGAGTGGGTGAGAGGATGAACTGTGTAGGTGCATGAGGTTATCGTCACATGTAATTCCATCACGATGACAGAGACGGGACGGGACAGCACCTGGGGCTACCTGCAACAGGCTTGCTTCAGGGGGACGGACCCCCTGCGAACTGCAGCGCCACAGGTGAAGAGAAGGCCCCTGCCAGCGGAAGCCACAGAGGGCTGAGGTTGTATCCTAGCGGCTGAGCTCCACTGGAAAACAAGACCTAACCTCTCCCTTGGACTCAAGCCATATGCGGGTCATCTTCTCGATCTGATCCTGTGATCCGCCACCGGTTCGCTCTGTTTCATCCACGACCGGGGGGTCAGAAGGATTGGGGACAGGTAGTCCCAGTAAACATGGTTTGCTGGTATGCTTGTTTGACCTTGGCAGAAGCAATGAAGCTCAGAGACAAGAGATACCCGGCCCTCGAGACAAGAGGTCTCACTCAGCCCAGTGAATCAGCCGAGACCGCGGTGAGCTGAATATCGGACGTTGAGAATGAATCACTGCATCCAATATTCAACAATATTAACATCCAAAGCTCCAGTAAAGATCAAGAGATTTCCTCTTTTCTCGCATGATCTGACCTCGTTTAAATAATCCCCTGCTCATTGTAGATACTCGAACAATCCCAGCAGAAAAGACGTCACAGTCACAGCAAAAAAGAGACCGTTTCCTCTCCCCACGGGGGAAGAGAAAACTCGACCCGCACTCGGGGCTGATATTTTCTCAGACAACATTTCCCGATTCGTCTGCCGCGTCCTTGCCAACCGTTGCATGTTGCATCGCTTGGTCTCGAATGGCGCTCCGGGCAGAAGCAATTTGAGGCCATGGGGGGGGGGAGGGAGTGTGTGATGTGCCCTCTTTTTTTTTTTCCTCCCCCCGGTGACCGAGAAGCCCGTCTCACCGCGCAGCCCATGCCAAGCATATCTGCACTTTCTGGGGCGGCTGCTGCTGCTTGCTGCGAGGAGGTAGAAGGGGAAGGGGGGAGGAAACAAAAGGTGGAATGAGCAAAGATTTATCATTCGAGAAGGTAGAACGATCGCCATTCATTGAAACTTTGTTTGTTGTTGTGATACTATACAATGTGCGATTACTTCTATGTAGGTGATTCCTCGATACTCTCGACTACCCGTTGTCGTCTATTGTATACTGACAACTCTCTCAGGTCGAGTTTCGATGCAGACACCACGCCTGGGTCGTTCGAAAGTGGTGTCGAAACTATGAGAGGAACGAGAAGCCTTGCACGCCCAACGTTGTAGATCCGCCCGAGTTCTGGTACGCTCTCCACCACATCTGCATCTTTCCCATCTTCAACCGCGTCGAGCCTGCATATTGACGTCGTCCTAGGGGCCATAGGCTATGCTCCAAGTGTCAACCTCCAGGGCAGCTGGCCGAGACTGTGAGAAGACACTACAGCGTTGCGGACTAAGGGAGACAAAGAAGTTCAGCGTCATGAATCTAGATGCAGCAATGCATCATTGGACTCATCAGACGCGTTCTTTGGTACTGGGCGTTTGGTATAGTCGGTAGGGACACTTGGGTATATGATAGAGCGCGGGTGGATAGTCAGGTCAGGGAAGTTCGGGATATTGGAAACGGAGAGGAGTTATGGGAACCTTATTAGAGGTATAGAGAGCAATCTCATCACGGAAAGGGAGCGTTAAGGGTTTGGTACAGGTATAGCACTCAACACGAATGATTCGATTCCACTTGCAGAGATCGACATAGTCTTGTTATTTGAGTGATTGCGGCTGCCACGTCGTTTGCACATCTCGTTGCCCAGCCTTGGCAGTGCGTATCCCATTCCATGGTTGTGGGACACTGATTCTCCTATGGCCTGTCAATGAGGGCATCGTTGAGCGGACAACTGATTGGACTCCCTCGCCACGGTGATTTAAATAAAAGGCCAAGGACACTATTTCCGATACCCAATGACAGATACAACTTCGAGACAAGAAGAGCATATCTGGTATTTCTCTTTTCGGCAAAAATGTTGTCAGTCTTGAGTCGATTCCTGGTGGGTTGGAGGGGCATGAAGAGTGCTTATCGATAAAGCTTTATTTTCTGTCGTGCATCGTTTCGCGTCCTCTCCTACCAACACTCCACATCTCCTCCAACACCTTATACACGACACAACCCGATAGTCTCGCGATGGCTCCTGGCTCTGCCACCGCAGGCTCATCTGGGCAAGGGGCCAAGAAGCGAAAGGCCGACGCCCCAGCGCCCAATGCTCGCAGCGACAACTTTGCCCAGAAGCGCTCCAAGGTTCACATCGCACGCAACATTCCCGCCCAGCCCGCCGACGCCGCACTCAAGGATGGAGAACTCGACCTCCAGGCCTTTGTGGCCGCCCACGAGTTTGAGATTCGGTCTCTCGAGCAGAGCATAGCCACGTCCAAGGCTGTGGGCAGCAGCCGCGCCTTTCAGAAGGTTCCTCGAGGTTTGCGCCGTCGCACTGCGAGTCACAACCCGAAACGAGTTCCGCGCAGGTTAAGATCGCGTGCGCAAAAGGAGATGAATGAGGATAATACACCAAAGGTAGAAGCCAGGAGGAGGAAACCTAGGACAACTCGAGGACGGATACGAGCAGAGACGGCGCGACGATTGGGAATATTGGCAGCAAGAAAGCGGAGGGCTGCGCTGGAAAAGGCCAAGGAGAATGGGCAAGACGAAACCCCTGGAAGCGAATTGGCTGTGGTAGGACGAGCGCCGAGACCCAAGATTCGAAGAAACGAGCTCAACGAGCCCCCAAAACCTATGGCCAAGTTTCGAAAACGACAACTGAACAAGACTTGGCTACCCACACATGCATGGCACGCCAAGAGAGCGCGCATGACAGACCCTCTAAATCCCCTGTGGCGGTTCGCTATACCGTTGACACCAAACGAAAAGATATGCCGACCAACTCATCGAGCGCAGGGTGACAGAGGCGCTGTGGTATGGGAGATGAGTTACATGAGCACTATTGGACTATACGGAAACTCTGTTGGGATAGAAAGGGTCCTCAAGCGAGTTGGTGTTGTGCAAGATTCATGTTGGAACGAGAAGGGCAGAAAATGGAGACTGGGAACACGATCGTGGACGGGCATCTTGAGTCGAAAGACCAACACAGGACGACAAGTCATCGGTCCAGGCACAATTCTGTGGAACCCCGAGTCGTCAACACAGGCCGAGGTCCAAGAACCTCAAAAGAAGCAGAGACAAGTGTTTCTGCGCATTCATCCCTCAGCGTTTCTCGAGCTCTTCAACGAGCTACTGCAACTGATCAAGCAAGAGAACCCCCGGCTCTATATCGAGGATCTCCGGTTTGAGATTGGCAGTATTGACCTCACCGGCCCTGGCTCAACCGAGGCTCTACTCTCCGTGTTGACTCCCTATCCTTCGAAAGACAAGGCAAAGGATCAGCATGCGGAGCTCTTCCGAGGTCTCGCGGGACTTAGCAACGCAGCAACATTGCCTGCTGGTTCAATCCTCAGCTTCCCAGTCCAAGACCCTCGTCTTAGGTATCCTCCCAGACGGCTGGAGGTCTCTGATGATGCAGACGCGCAGCTACAACTTCTTGAAAAGATTGCGGCTTGGCCAGCAGAAGAGGATCTATTGCCATATGCCATCTTTGACCGAGATGCCCGCCATCGTGCGTCACAGCTCCCTTCACAGAAAAATGTTGATCGACGAAAGACGAAAAAGACTCCTGGATCTCTGCTGAAGCCAACAGCAGTCGACCCTCCCATTCCTGTCACACTCCTGGCGTCACGTACCGGCACAAGTACTCAAACCCAAGGCACATGGACTCTCCTTGCCCCCTGGAAGTGCATACAGCCGATCTGGTACAGCCTGGTACATTACCCCCTCTCGTCAGGGGGCAATCCACGGTTCGCCGGAATGGACGAGATTCGTCAGATCGCTTTCGAGCGCGGCCAGCCTTGGTTCCCAGGAGACTTTCCCGGGACGGCAGCCGGTGCTGAGTGGGAGCTTGAGGAACGGAGGAAGCGAAAGGCTGCTTGGGAGAGGCGGCCAAAGAGCAAGAGGGTGGCGTGGGAGTCGTTAGATCTCGGCGGAGGGAGGAAGGGCGAGATTGGAGATGGCTTTGCCAGCAACTTTGAGTTGTTGTTCAAGTCGACCAAGACACGGTGCTCTTCGAATAATCAAGGCGAAGACCCTATGGATATTGACCAAGACGAGTCGACGCAAAAGCCAGCACAACAGAAGTCATCAGGCATTCATGGACTACAGCAGATCTCCAAGGATGCATTCAAGCAGCTCCTTGAAATCCCTCAACCTACCACGATACCCACAAATGCACTCGTCACCGTCCGGATTACTCTACTCTCCCGCGGCGTCGTCACACCCTGCGCTCGCATCTACCGTCTCCCCCCTCCTCCAACAATCATCCCACCCTCATCTGAAGCCGAGGTCCCGGCTACAATCCCCCCAAAGTCCGCATCACACTCTTCCCTCCCACGAGACATCCGTTCCCAATGGCTCGCTCGTGTTCCGTCCTCTACTACACCCAAGAGCAAGGCTTCCAAGTCGTCAAAGCCTCGTGATTTGGACTCGTTGAAACGTGTCCTTGCGCGCGAACTCATCTCCAAGCCAACGCCTTACTCTTCCGAGCCAGCGAACCAATCCGATATGAATGGTCACCCGCTCGTTCCCAATACAGAGGATCTCATTGGTTTTGTTACCACTGGGTCATTCAGTCTCAGCGAGGGTCATGGCATGGCGATTGGATCCATCGCCGCTGAGAAGGTTCTAGACGGAATAGAACAGGATCCTAAAAAAGGGCGCCTATGTGTAGTTCGCAACACAGGTGAGAGTGTCGGCTGGATTGCGAAATGGGAGGCAATTTGATCCCAAGGCTATCGCACAGCTCATGTTCTCGGGGACTATGGCGGTATAAGAGACATGTTATATGCATTATCAAGGCGTGAGGGAGATCTGCGGGTGCCGGCATTCACGCCCTTCAATGTCATGATAGTGACGCGACAATTTATAGACGCAGACAGACGGCGGTGGGCTTAGGAATAGAGCAAAGGCGTCGTTGACATGGGCATCCACAACGCGTCTATATAAAGGCAAACGCAGAGGAGGGGTTAACTCTTCTCACATGAACAAAACTCTAACCTCCATCATTATATCATCACCACTTCTCGCTCGTGCAATATTGACGTCTTACATATATATTCGACCTTTTGACAAACATTTTCCTGCGTGGACTACTCAGAGATGGCTTCAGATGAATATCCCACGACTATATCGGGTGGATGTCTCTGCGGTTCTGTCCGATACACCTTGACTTTCCCAGATAGCCACGACTGGAAGAAAAGCGCATGTCTTTCCCCCTCCTCAAAGCTCATAAACTAACAATTCCCTTCTAGTGCGTGACATGCCAGTGCACGCAGTGCCGTAAAAACGGCGGCTCCCTCATGGCCTACTTCCACCAACTACCAGCCTCTGGCGTCGCATTCACCTCACAGACGACGCTCTCACGGTACCACGCCACCGAGGGCTGCGCGCGAGGATTCTGTACTGCCTGCGGGAGCTGGCTCTTCTGGCGCCGCGAGGCCGCGGACACCATCAGCATGTCAGTCGGCACGCTCGACGAGGATGTGCTGAAGCGCTGGGGAAAGTTGCTAGCACACGCCGAGTTGCATTTCTGGTGTGAGAATGAGATTGAGGGTGCTACTGATCATCTTCAAGGGGAGAAGTGGAAGCAAGATAATGAGGGCGAGGGAGCTGAGAGGATGAATTAAGTGGTGAAGACATGTTATATTCTCGTGTCTAGATATCTGTGGCAGAGTATTGGACAAGGCAGTATAGTCCTGGCGCTGGTGGTATCAAATCAAAGTAAAAACAACCCCCGTACATGTTTCTCATGCCATGTAGTAAAACATCATTATTCTCGCTTCAACGCCGAGTCCAACAAGGACTTCTTTTTGTTCCCTTGACAAGTGGCTCATCAAACTCTGGCCCAAACAACGCCGTGTGTATTCCAACAAAAAAAAAAAAGGCGCCATCCAAAAAGTCGCAAAGTTGCAGATTCATCAAGCTGCTTTCTCTAGTCTTCTTCGCTGATCTCGCTCTCGTCGCCGTCAGGGCTCTCCTGCTGGCTGTTTTCAAAGTTCTCAAACGCATCCTCCAAGTCCTTGGCAAGGTCATCCTCGGAGTTTTCAGCTTCTTGGTTTCCGTAGTCAACATCCATGGGCTCCGGTTCGTTATTCCGCTGTATCTGGTTGTTGACGGGGCTGGGAAGCTTAAAGTCGAAATCGGGCTCGTCGTCCTCTTCTCCGTCGGCGTCGTCGCCTTCTGATTCTCGCTGGTCCATGAACTCATCAAAACGACGTACAGATGGGAAGGCGGGGGAGAAGTCGGTTCTGCGGTTATTGCTCGTGTCGGCGCCGGGGTACTCGACAAGGAGACCGCCATCGTCGTCGTCATCCTCCTCGTCCTCTTCCTCTGGTGGCGGCGCACGTCGCTTGGGTTCTTCCTTCTTCTTCTCTGGTTGGGCGGGCATGGGCATAGGTAGAGAGAGCTCAATGTTCTTGGGGGCCTGTTTCTTCTCAACCTTGCGCTTGACCTCCTTCTTTGGCGCAGCGGGCTTGCGGGCCTTTGCTGCCGGCTTCTCGGCCGTCTTTTCGTTCTTTGCGGGTGCTGCCTTTGGCGCGGCGCCGGTGTTGCTGTCGATTTGAGGGAACTGGCGACGCAGGCTGTCGGGATCCGAGTTGGCGGGGAGTCGTGTGACGTTCATGTTAAAGGTGGAATCGACGCGGTCGAGGATAAAGGCTTCGCGGCTCGCGTCAAAGTAGAGGACATACTGATTGCTGTCGAGGTTTCGCGTTCCGGTGAATGCGTACTTTTCGTCGTTGTCGGTGTAGCTGAGGTCGTATGAGGCCGTCTTGCCGTGGACGGATGGCTTCAGGCGGGCCAGGTTTGGGGCGGAGGGAGACGAGAGTGTTGGCTTGTGGTTATCTGTATAGTTTAGCATAGGAAAGTCTCTGGGGAAGATTCAGATGGACATACATCGAATACCAGTAAAGATGCCGTCCGAGGCCTTGCCCAGGAGAGCATCGCCTAGGATGACGGGATAGTTGCCCGTCTTGGTCGGGTCGATGAGACCAGAAGCCGCCATGATGGGCAACAAGAGTAGATGTACAGCTTTGACAGATACAAAGACAAAACGATGACGAGCTTCAAAGCTCCTCCTCCTCCTCTCGTGGTGTTGTCCTCAAACAAGTTGACGGACGCGAGCGCGGGATAATCCAAGGTCAAGTCCGGGGGGCCGAGGGTCTAGAGTGAGATGGGTCGGGGCCGCTAGAAGTGGAGGGAGCTAAGTACTGAGTGTGGAGGCGATGTTGATTGACAGAGTGGGCGGGGGTCATCAACACAGTGAGTAAATGGAATAATTGTTGGGGAGGTTTTTAACTGTGATGCAATGCAAGAGTCAAATCTGTTATTCGCGTCATGAAAATGAATGTGAAAGAGAGAAAGAGAGAGAGGGGGGATGAAAGAGAGGCTGATCTGCACGCCCTTGTTACTCCACTCACAATCAATTAATGTGTGAGGCGGCGTCCATCCCAGCCACGCCTTGCTGATGTGCGTACGGATGCTCCGTGACTGTCGTCGTATCGTGTAAACAAGTGGTGTGAGCACGCAACATAGAAGGGTCAGATTCTGCACGATAAGCAATCAATTTTTGCCTCATGACGACAAATACCTCGGATATGGATTTCTTGTTGCTTCTGCAAGGAGGGTATTCACGGCAATTCACGCTCAACCACCTGTTGTGTCTAGGGTAAGCTTCTACTTTCCATGTTACACGGCATGACTCTTTCCAGACTCACATCTCGGATCAGCCAGCTCCAATGGTTTCCTCTTCAAATTCATAAGTGCTTAGTTATATGATATATCTATCCTCCATGTGCAGGCTGATATCCGAGGAAGGGCCATACTTAGTCCAGTCTCGGTTACAACAATCGTCCCTTACTAGGCCGACAGCATCTGTGCTGGAGAATGGCCTTAGGGCTGTCCCGAGAGCAAGTCCGCCGTCCACTCACCTGGCCTTGGAACTATGGCCACTCTTCTCGCAATCTACTGTCCTCTAGAGGCTAAGTAAAGGAATGAGTGCTAGAAAAAGCCCCGGTACACGTCAAAGCCGTCATTCACGTTCCCGTGAGAGGCCGTGAGATGGCCATGGGCCAAGATGGTGGTTCCCACATGGCAATGGACATTTGCTTGTTTGACCGTTATCTCCCCAAGTTGTTCAACTGGTCCATGGAAGCAGGCAGTGTCTGAATGATAGGCTCTCGATACTCTGTTCCTGGAAATATAGCCGCCCGCTGGTTAAGCGCCCAGCTGTGCATCGGGAGCCGGACCCTGCCACCAAAACCCTGCACCTCTTCAACTTCCATGACAGAAACACACGCCTCATGGATCTACTTTCAGCGTCGGCATGGTTGCAATCACACGACTTACGGGCAACTGGATTATGTGAATCTGCTAAATTTCTTTTAGAGCAAAACGAATTCTTAACAATTAAACTACAGAAAAATGCAACCTGGTCAACTATTTTGAGCAGCTTGGATTCAGCCTCAGCATGGACTGTTGGTCCCAACTCAGTCTCTGGATTTAGAAGCCCTGCTCTCGTCCAATGCGAGATGTCGTTTAGACGCCGTTACAACATCCAACTTGGATCAGGGACTCCCAGTTTAGAGCCAACAGAACCAACAACCATTGTTTGGATCTCATAAAGGAAAGGAAATATCGCTGTTTCGGTCTTTTGGTTCATTAAACAGATTTAATCGTCCGACTGCCAACCAAATCCAGATATGGGCCGTTCATATCGGTAATCTTTGTCAGTTCTTTGGTCAACGAGTCGACGACACTCAACCAAGATGAGCCAAGACAACAGTGCCGGCTTTACTGAGGCGGAACTTCGACAGCCCGGTCGCTACAACATCCAGCTGAGCGATACAGGGTCGGTGAATAGCTCCAGCACCGACCTCGTCAAGAATCAGCATCATGCTTTCAAGAAGCAGAAACTGGATCTCCAAGGCCTGTCTGCTGATTTTGCCGTCATTGTGCTGCCGTTTGGCCTTGTTATTTTCTCCTTTCTCGTCCTGCGCCTCGATGGGATTTCTGTCGACAAGGAAGTATTTGCACAATGGCAAAATGCCATCACTGTTGTAAGTTCTTGACCCCAGCCGTATCTTGAGACCAATGAACTGACAGTGCCAGCTTGCCACTCTGTTTCCCATTCTATTTGCTGCAATATTTGGACGTCTCATCTACCAGATGGCAAGATGGAGTCTGGAAAGAGGCACCTCATTGGGCTCTCTGGAGCAGCTGATGGGTAGTCGAACCGTCGGGGGTGCTGTCCTCACTCAGTTCCAGCTCAAGGCCTTGAACCCCCTGGCCATCTCTCTGATACTCGTTTGGGCTGTATCCCCCCTGGGCGCGCAGTCCATACTGCGTATGCTGGGCTCCCGACTTGACGAGCGAGGACACGATTCAAATGTTGTTTATTTCAATACGGATGCTGAATCACAGCCCTCCCACAAGGAACTTACGGCAGGAGTGTCAGAATACACCCTTGAATTCTTGTCATCCTTGGGGACCATGTTTGGCGCTGCCCTCATTTCGCCCAAGTCAATCAAGAGGGACTCGATGGATGTTTGGGGCAACGTCAAGATCCCCTTCCTGAAGTCGGACGATAATGACGGCTGGCAGAGCGTCTCGTGGACATCCAAGCTCGAGCATTACTCTGCTCTGGTTGGTGTCCCGGTGGTCAACGTCTCGATGGGGAACACCACCTTTTCTCTCGAGTCGAGCTACATTGACCTCAAATGCTCCAACATTACTCGGATGGATACGTATGGCGTTGCTCAGTACCGGGACTTTGACTGGCCCTATTGGTCGTCGCCGGGGCCTTTCAAGAACGGCACCTGGTACGGCTTCAACAACACGTTCCAAGACGAGTATCGTCGTTCCTGGGCCATCGCCCTGAACAGATTTGTCGATCTGTATTGGGCCAATAGCACGCTGGTCATGGAAAGAGCCCCGGATGCCTTCAACCTAGCAGACGCGGCCCTGACCCGACCCGCCGCCTTTGTGAACGAGACAGGGATCGAGGTCAAACCGGCAAAGCTCTACTTCCAGGCCCAGCTCAGCAACACCATGATGCGGGAACTACCCGGCCTCACAGCTTACTGTGATATCGCGCAAAAGTATGTCGAGTCTCGCGTGACGTGCCGACGGACGACTTCGACCGGCCAGCAGAACTGCACCGTCACGGCACAGAGGCCTTCGCAACGACAACACGCGCCCGAGGCCATCACACACCTCTCTTTCCCCGCCGTGTTTCGGTGGATATCTAAGTATATGCCACTGGCAACGGCAGTACGAAACGCCGGAGTATGTGACCTCGTTCTGCAGTACCTGGACATGCCAGGCCTAGATACCATGAACAACGATGTATCCGGCGGGTTTATTAATGTCGACCAAGAGTTGTTCAGCCTGCGGCTAAGCCAAGTGCTAAACACGTATATACTCCTGGGCCAGATGTATCTTCGAGCCGTCGGCAGCACCAAAACTAACAACTGGATCAAGGACAAGTGGAACGTGACAACGCCGGTCGAGGTAGTCAACCTGGTCGAGGTCTACTCAGTCACGGGGCTGTGGATGGGCTTCTGCATCTTCTCGTGCATCGCGCTCAGTGTCAGCGGGATCCTCAGCGTCTTCTTCACTCACCTGGCCAGCGGGCCCGACGTGCTCGGGTACGCGTCGACGCTGGTGCGGGACTCGCGGTACATACAGCTGCCGCCCGAGACGGGACAGATGGGCGGGGCCGACATGACGGTCGAGATGAGGGACATGAGGGTCCGGTATGGGTTCACGGGACAGAACTCCAAGGGGCAGGTGTGGGTAGGAGTTGGGCGGGAGAAGGAGACGAAACGAATAAGAGATTACATCGTACAAGACTAGATAGAATGACTAATGTAATTGATACCCTTGAACGATGAATGGTATGTGAAGAGTGATCAAGTTGGTTGTTCCATTCATCAAGACGAATCTCACCGCTCACTTCATCCCTCTGCCCGACCCGTAAGAGCCTGATGTTAACCCGTTGATTACAAGACAAACTAGAAGATCGGCAACGATTGACAGGTTGCCTTACAAGCTGTTGCCCCGAGCCAAGCCTGTTCCTGTCTGCAAAACCCCCACACCAACTACGGGACAAACTAACATAAAGTTCAGGTGACGTGTGTGACTGTTGGTGACAGCATCTGCCGACGAGCCCATCTCGATCAACAGCTCTAGGTGGACCGACAGCCTGGGTTCGATTTTTGCCCGCCGATCAAAATGCCCAACTTTCGAGCCCGTAATAAGCGCCTGCTGTTCTGTTTCCTTGTCTCAAGGGAAAGGGCGGGAGGGCGCCGTTGGGTGACGGCTCATCTCGGTCTCGGGAATCGACGATCCGGGCGTCGATCACTCATGCATACAGCTGAAAGGAAGAAGAAAAGAGGGAGGAGCGGATGTTTGACACAGTTGGGCACACCGGCTTGGCTGTTGGGCTGTCTACCCGTTGGATCATGATGCCATTTGAGATTCTTTTCCTTTCTTTGCAGGATGGCAATGTCAAATTATGAGGAAAAGCATGAAGCCCCTTGTAGTTATTCCCCAGGTCTTGCGTATGCCTCATAGTAGGCCCAATCCATTAATGTGTATGAAATGCCCCGTACTCTGTACCAACCTAGGTAAGATACGGACAAGTAGCCAAGACCATTATATGCATAATGCATAAAAGAAGCAATTCTCGATATCGCCAAGGTCTCTTTCGTACATATTCCATAAAGAGAAGCGCCTGGTCGCTGGTTGAGAGAAGCTTGAACAAGCCGGCAACCTTTACATATTCTTCAGCGGCGCCTTGTCCGTCGGTCAAGATAAACAGAGAGATGACAGCTCTGATTCAGCCACTGGAGAGGGCCCAATGGGTTCTGGAGCGTCGACGAGATCGCGCCAGGGCAGCGCCATGTCTGATGGATGGGTTGTTTTGGTGGGGATTTGTGTTGAAGGGGGTCTGCAGATGGAGCGATTATTATTCGCCAGGAGATGAAGATAGATGTTGGTTACCTCTCCGCAGTATGCAGGGTCTGGATATAGACAAGAATAGATCCTGGCCGGGAGGCAGGATATACTGTTCATAACCCGTCCTTCGGCAAACAACATGTCCTCTCCGAGGTTGACAAATACAACGTTTCCTAGACAAGCTCAGCAAGGGCATCGGAGCATCTGAATCAACATACTCCATACATAGCTGTACGTGTACGGATATACGCAGACGATTTCTAATGCAACCTGCAGATGCCCGTAATATGTCTCGTCTCCCTTGCTACCGAGCGCGCGCGCGTCTCCGTCCCTGACAGCAAAACTCCACAGCACAGCCTGTCAGATCAGATGTCAGTTTACTACTCTCTGACCGATGGCAGCTCGATCAGAGATTGTGGAGTTGCGGTCCCAGCTCTGGACGCTTCGAGGCTGGTCTCCGAGACACTCATCGTCGTTGCCAGATCAAGATCTGCGGGCATCACAAACATTTCACATTTCTCGCCTGCTTGATGGTTTTACCGCCTCGACTGAGAGTAAGAAAAACTCGGCTTTCCTTGCCGCGCCATCCTTCAGCTTAAGAGTCTAGTCCCTTCGGTAAGAGATATTCAATGTGGACTGGGCCAAGGGTAAAAAAAGTAAAACATTCACGGGACGGTAGGTAGTGTTGGTGGAGTAGTTGGAAAAGTGATCATCGCATGTTCATCTCGCGAATGACCGGCACAGCACCGATTCCGCAACTGGGACTAAACTTCTCCTCTTTGAGAAGACAAAAACGATCAAGGGGAGAAGCAAAACTTGGCAAACAAGATCCATCAAGTTCTGCATCGGCAAGACGGACAATATGTGGGGGACCCCGGCGGATGCCGTGGGAGAGATGGGGGAACTCGTTCGAGGATCCTTTGCGATTTTCAATCTCCCATAATGACTTTTCGGTCTAGTCCCTGTCGTGTTGGGCAATAATTCCCTCGGATATGTCAAATACTACAGAGTATGTGGTTATGCGACTCTGGTGCAGCAAGTTTAAGAGTTGTAGATGTGGGTCATGGTTGATGTCGTACGTTTTCAATGGGTTGAATCGGCGTCTTCCTAGCTCTTTTCTTGTACAAGAGAAAACTGAACGGTGGAAAAAGAAACGAAATCTAAGAAACTGTAACCCACTGGATCCGAACTGCCTCGGCCTCGCTTCTGCTCTGCCGGGTGGAGTTGTAGAGAAAGCCTCTCGGGGGCCTCAAGATATCACCAATCCAACGGTGTCTCTGATGACCGCATGCGATAGGGCAATGGAGTTTTCGCAGGATGAGATTGTCTTTGATCTGAGATGAAGAGATCGACATTACATTGGCGATGGGTCCAGATCCCTCAGGTTAGGTCAGGTCGGTCATTAGCAACAGGTCTTCTGACAGCAGAGTAGACCTGTAGTGTGCCATTCGGCTACGTCATGGTGCAAGCGACTACCAACGCATTCCTCTCTCTGGTAGCGAGCGGGTAGCCATCACCATAGGCTCTCCCAGTCACGCCCACGCATGCCGTCAAACGATGGGTAGCAAAATGCAATGGTGGTGTGTTGAGCACCAGTTTTAACAGCGCAAACCGCCGGTATTAAAAAGCAAAACCTCCCAAGAGGGGGGCGACGACGAAGAAGACGAGGAAAGGGAAAAAGAAACGAGAGGCTGACGGCAAAGGCAAAAGAAGAAAGGAAATAATAGGGAAATGGGACTCGTCCACGACCCGGCCGAGAGTCTCCCAATCATTGGATGTCCATTCGGCACTACCCTTCCCTCCCCCCCCTAGTCCCAAGCCTGGCCCGCCTGACCTCGCCTGACTGCCGGGGACGGCTTTGTATGAAGGAAGAGGAGGGAGGAGTCCGATGCCGTGGAACCATGTTGGCGATGGACTCGAAAAGAGCTGAAGGACGGGAGAGACAAATGTCCAAACAGAGATACCCGATCATCGAGTGTACCCCTTGACTGTAATGGCAGATTCCCGAGGCAACAGCAACAAGGGATGACGTTGGGGCAAAAGGGAGACAGTGAAATGGCTTCTCCTTGCCTTATTTGCTCCTCTCCCCGAGAACTCACATATCCATCCATCGGACAAGCTCCCATCAACTTCTATTTGACGATGGATGATCCCTTGCCCTGTTTCCCTGACCCCCTTTTTTCCCCACCACCATTGAGGCACCGCCTTTTTCGCGAGAGTCTGAGAAGAGCTTGCAGCGACAAGAGACTGACAGACAGGAAGAAGAAAACACATTGAGTGCAAAAAGGCAGGACCCTTGTCAAGCCTCCTTGTCCTCTCTGGTAAAATCGGTCCCTCTCATCATCCTCGTCCTCCCCCCCACCCATGTCTTTGCCGCCGCCCTTGGAGGAGGGGAGGGGGGTCCCCTTGTAAGCCAGACCCTGGTCAAAAAGACGCCGGCCGCAACGCAAACCAAACGAAAGAAACCCTGGCTAAGCGGTTTGCGGACCCGCCCTTTGGATCGTGAGCTGATTGAACGAACGGGGTGGATGATTGCTTCTTTGCTAGCTTCTGCGTGATGCCGATTGTCAGTTTGTTGTTGGTGGACACCGCCCGGATGATATACGGACGATGACGAGAAGAAGAAAGAGAGGGCATCGGACCGCCGAGGATGCCCTGTCCTGCCCAGCCTGCGTGTGTAAGTTGGCCCCGTTCCTGGATGGCGGTAAGATATTACGAACAAACGGATACTCGGGTCAGTAGACAGGACATCCAGCCTTATAATAATAACCTTGTTGTTCCTCTTGTAACACTCTTGCCCGTCTGATCTTGCACTCTTTCGTTCTGTTCTGGTCTGGCTCTTCCACTCTTTCGGAGCAGATATCCCAGCGTGACCACGACCACGGCCAAGTGGAGGTGCTGATAATTATTAAGGAAACACATCCCGGCCTCTTTTCTCCCCATTCAAGTTCTCCTCCTTCTTTTGAACCTGACCTCGCCTGTCAAAGAAGCCCTCCTGCATTTCTTGATCCCTGAGCCTTGTCTGTCAGCGGGACGACCCCATTTTCGATCCCTCCCTTCTTGACTCTTCTCCGAGGTCCGTCTTGGTTCTTGTTAGTGGTTGGGGCTCCATACACAAAACTATCTGGCTCACCTTTGCGCCGACCGCTCTCTTCGTTTATTACCAGATTATCTGCTATTCTATTACCGCCCTTTGCATTGGGATCTGTACACGCATACAACAACTGTTCTGTTGGCATCTCATCTGCCACGTTCCAAACCGGACCCAATTCTCCTCACCACTGGCATCGAATCGCAAACGCAAACTTGATTCTGGGCCCTGCAACTGCAACAGCGACTCCAACTGCACACGCCATTCATCCACCCGCTGAGACCCTGATTCAAAAAGACTCGAGGTGTCAGACACTGTCAATTCCGCCCGCTCTTCCGAGATAAATGCGCTATTCGCCAACGGGTACCCCAAGAGAGAAAGAGAGAAAGGATCCGTCCGTCCTTGTCCTTGTCCTTGTCCCCAACCTGCGTCCGCGTCCGTCCATCCATCGAGTCGCGCTGCCGAGCCGCCCTCTGCTGTCATCCGTACCTACCTACCTACCTTCCTAAGATATCACCCCACGCACGCCCTCAACACCACCACTTTTTTTTTCTTTAACCAATCTCTTGATTTTCCTCTCAATCATGCACTGAAGGAGGCCAAGAAAACATAGACTCTTGAACCCGACTCCCACGTTTTTCCTCCTCCCCCAATCTCCCCTGGCAGAGTCGCCCTTAACAGCCATGGCAGCTGCGGTGCTTCGCCAGGGCCCTATCATCGCCATCGACATGCCCGCCAACTCTAACACCACCACGACGCCTCTAACCACCACCAGCGTCAGCGCCGGCGTCAAAACCGGCTCCGACCCCGAACACGACGCCACACCCCCCGAGCTTAGCGATATCGACTACTTCCTTACCGTTCTCCAGTTGCCCTCTGGCCGAACCGAGGGCCAGATAGAGGATGACCTCGTCTCCAAGGCCAGCGCACTGGGTATCTCGACTGCTGCCGTGGCCGATAAGCGAATCACCTCGAGCGTCGAGTCAGCCTCTACCGTCTACAACGCCCGCACGTTTTCCATGCTATCTGGTGGATCGACAAGCACAGCTCTTACTACGCATTCCTCCCTCTTTGGTCCGCCTACACCCGACCTCTCGAGCGCCAGGCAGTCCAAGGATTTGAGCTTTGCTCAGTACGAGCGTTACTTGTCCATTATCGACCCTCACCACAACCATCCCAAGTTCAAGGAGCCGCCACCTCCGGATCCGACCACCCAGAGCATCTTTAGTGGCAAGACCAACAAGCGAAGCCTTTTCGGCGTCAAATCGGGATTCAAGCTGCGATGGAGGAAAAAGACTCCCCAACCTCTCGAGGTCCTCATGTGTGTACTTCCCCGGATCCCGACCTGGACCGTCTCACAAGAAAATGATAGTGTGCTGACCTGCTTCTTATAGGACCTGCGTGTGCTGCCATGCCGATTTCAAGAGCTCAAGCTCATTACACAGCATCGCCTGCGGCCACACATACTGCGCCGACTGCCTTAGATCGCTGATTCACGCCTCCATGGCTGATGAGTCCAGCATGCCTCCACGGTGCTGCGCTCAGCCGCTCCCGGGCTCTATTATCAAGGACCTGTTGAGTCGGGACGCTCAGCAGGAGTTCCTCAAAGCCATTATTCAGTACAGTACTCCCTGGCAGGCGAGGATATTCTGTCCCAACCCCTCCTGCGGCGAGTTCATTCCGCCACACTACAAGCTGGATCCGAAATATCCCTTCAATGTCACCTGCCGCAAGTGCAACACCCGGGCATGCCTCATGTGTAAGCGCAACGCCCACCCGACCGGAAAGGACTGCCCAGAGGATTGGGAGCTGGATCAGGTCTTGAAGATGGGTGACAAGGCCGGCTGGAGGCGGTGTTACAAGTGCCGGAATCTGGTCGAGCTTGTCGAAGGTTGCACCCACATGACTTGTCGGTGCAAGGCCCAGTTCTGCTACATCTGTGGTGGCGTGTGGGACGCCAATATTGGGTGCCCCAACTACTGCAATGGCGAGGAAGAGATGGAACGGAGGAGGCGGGAGGAGCAGGTCCAGCTCGCCGAGTATGAGGCAGAGAAGCTTGTGCAAGAAGCCGCAGCCGCCGCGGCGTCAGCTGAACGACTCGAAGCCGAGGAGCGAACACGAAACAAGGACGACTTTTCCAACCTGGCCGAAATGCAGCAGCACGAAATGGAGCGGTTCCTCGAGTTTGCCGAACAAGGCAGGGAACACATGAGGGCCCGATATGCGGAGCAGAAACAGGCCATGGTGGAACGACACGCGGATCAGGAAGAAAAGATGAAGGAGAAGCACGCTAGGACTGTCAGCCACCTCGAGGATCGGCAAGTGGCTGCCGAGATGGACCTCCGATCTACTCTGGAGGCGAGCGAGCGAAGTGTCAAGATCCGACTCAAGCATATGGAGGCTTATTGCGATGGTCTCGGTCGTGGTGGTGACCCCAGCTCAAGCTCGACTTCCCTCCCCCATCGCGTGGTGACGGAGCGGGACCTCCGTGAATTAGGCCAGCAGTACAACATCCGGGACGGCATGGAGAGGTCGCACCAAGCCAAGATCAATGTCATGCGGGACCGACAGGCCAAACGCATGGAGGAGCTCATGGACCGCCAGGAGAACGAGCATGAAAAGTTTCTTGACCGATGCCGTGACGAGCTTGAGGCCCTCGCTGTCCAAGCTACCCACGACGAAGAGACGTTTGCCGGCACGTTTGCCACCAGAAAGGCCAAGCTGGTGCGCCGGTGGGAACTCGCCATTGAGATTCTTCGCAAGGAACTCGAGGCCCACGATGGCGTCAAGTATGCCCCGATTCCAACACCGACGTGGCCCGAGGAGAAGACGGCAGAGTCCCCTTCGACAGAGTAAGCACGTCTTTGCTTTGGGTATTATCAATGAGCGATACCGTGCAACGAAGAGCACGAGTGGACAATGCATTTCAGCAACGGCCTTGACGAGCACCCGGATTTTACTACTATACTACCTATCTATGTTCCCTTGGGATATTTACGACCACCCCGATTTCTTTTCTTTTTCAACCTTTTTTGTTTATACGACTTTTTACTTTGTACGGCATGATACCAGGCCAACCAGCCAGGGGAAGCGGGCAGCTCTCGAGCATGTCCCGCCGGTTTATTTGAAGTTGAACGCATTTTCAAGCATCAGCATAGCATTGTCGTCTATTTCCTTTTTCCTATACACTGCGGACCTATTTCCAGGTCACGAAAAGAGCGACGGACAGGCGGGTGAGATGTTATCACGACCTCACCCTGCCATGTTAATCGACGTTGGAGAGGGAGCGTGTCTATTTTTTCTCCATTTTGTGATTTACCTAGTTCATACCCCCAGACGTTGGTCGTGCTGCGTCATGATAGATTGGAGATCTCCAGATCATAGAAAGATGAGAGGGTTATTGACATTTGCGAGTTTGTACTCGACACTGGCTTGGTGTGTAATGATCTGGATGTTGTGAGACTTGTATGGATAGATGATGAATGGAGGATGCCCTGGGATTGATAGAAGGGAGGTGAAGTGAATTGACGAACCAGATGACCAAAGCGTCTAATCTGTATGCATGTCTCTTAAATTATGGTTCCCGAGTGAGACACTTGTTGAGTGAGGGCATGATCCTTGAGCTGTCTGTCGATAGTAGATGAAGGCTGGAGTTCCTTGGATCTAGCTCAGGCTCACCGTGCCCATCGCAATTTGTTTGCCTCCGAGGTTGTTGACCAAAAACTCTATTCAACCTCGTCTCTCTTCGGCATCCTACGTTAGAAGCACGGCTTCCTGCTCACAATCATGCCGGTAGATGTCGAACCCCCGAGAAGGCGAAAAAAAAAAAAGGCAACCGCATCAAGCGAATGGTGTTGCAGTGCTACATGGAATAGAGTTGCAATGACCATACGCGCGCACATACACACGATCCTTGTGTACAAGGTCTAGGGGAGTTTCGCTCCGTTTGTTTTGGGGGACGGACGGAGTTGATGAGCAAACACGGGAATAGGGCGCGTGTGTCTCGGAGAATACAGATGGAGATACCTGATACTGTACGGAATCGAACCTTTTCTGTGTCAGGCATCTGATGTAGTCTGCAGTATTCCGTGTAATTGTTACTCATGTTGAATGTGGCATCATGTTTGCTACCCCCCTTTAGACACGCAGAACCTGTCAAAAGGAGAAGCCAGCGCCGCCGCACAGCTTCAGGCATCAAGAACGGTGTTGTTTTTCGTGTCTGCCCGTTTGGCGAGATCGACAGGGACGCAGAGGCCAATGTGTGGCTGCAAATGCCCCAGGATACCTCGGTACCTTTTTTACTTCTCGTTTGAGAGTGAGAAAACGAACAGGCTTATTTCTCCGTTACGTGCTCTTTGTTCTAGAACACGAAACGTGGCCGGGATATGAAACACGAGGACTTTCGAGTCTCTTGTCTTTTGCCGGCGACTCGGGCCGTGTTGGTTTGTTGCTGCTACTTGCTCGGGAAGGGTAGCAGCTAAAAATAGGGAGAACCATCCAACGACAACGACAACGATGGGATTACGGGAGGTTGCTTGGAGGGATTCAAGGCCGCTCGAGTCTCAGAAGTCATGGCTTGCTTGCTTGCCTGTGGGTGTAAGCAAGCAAGCAGGTCTCTCGATATAGCGTAGCATGGCTGCAGATGCCCGCAGACGCAAGACGTGCAGGGCTGTTTCTTGCGCCAGAGACTGGACCCGAGATCCATCCATCTCTACAGTGTAGATGGGGACTCCATATGCTGGTTGCCGTGAGGAGAATTGAATCGGGCACTGTTCTGTGCCTCTCCGTGTCCGTGACTCAGACGAGATGAGGGCGGCAAAGCATGATATATGGATGGCTTCACGTTTTGGATTTACTGCGGGAAGCCGTGGTGGCTTTTGATGCTGTCCAACTCGCTGCCAAACACGTTGCCAAAGAGTGGAGAGGTGCGCAGTACGTAATCCAGAGGGGGGTAGGTGGCCAGCGCTTCCCTGTCTGTCTACCTAAGGAGGATGGTGACAATGGGTGTCGAGAAGATACTGAGAGATGTAGTCTCGGCTCATGGATCAAGGCATTTACAAGACCAAGTAAAGCTTGACTGGTCGAACCCCGTCAGCCACGTCCGAATCCATTGGACATGTCGATAAAGGCTGCTGCGAGAAAGACAAATGCCCCTGAAGCCATGGGGGACCCTCCTTATCCAAAACGCCCATGGCCGCCCGCAGATGGCGCCCGGATGGGACCCCTAGCCCGCTAAAGAAGACTTGGGTGGAAGTTTAGGTACCGCGTCACGCATCCATTCTCAGCCACACAAAACAAGTCAGCCCAATTTCACCAGGGCCAAAGCCAAGGCCAAGGCAAGGCCCCCATCCCATCCTCCATCCATCCCTCACTCCACCTACCGATCTCCATATTCCCCATCATCCAATCCATCTCTTGTTCGAGAATTACTTCTACTGACTGCCCTGGGAGTTTGCTTTGCCATCTATTTGCCTGCGTTTGCGTGCGTGTATTGCGGGCGCTCGTTACTTGGGCATCTTCCCTTTATCACTCCCCTGTCTCGTCTGCCCTTAATAGAAAGTGTTTCGCTGCTCTCGTCTTCTCTTGAATCTCCGTCTCCGTCTACCGCTTCTTCCGACGCATCGGCCCAGTTCCAGTTGTTGCTAGTAGCACCCCGCCGCTAGGTGCGCTCCCAGCTGCAGATTGCGTTGCGAAGCTCTCTGAGGTGCCCCCATCAGATCACCACCACCTCCCACCAACAGCTTTTCTTGGCACCTACAACCACCATCGTCAACCCATCGTCGTCGCCATCATCATCGCCGATTCGAAAAAGTAGTTCGATTTTGCTCAAGTGCCGAACCTACCTTTTTTTCGTTCGCTACCCTCCCGTCGCCGTTGTTACCGGCCTGTCGTCGTCGACGCCGTTTATCCACCAAGACCTGTCTCTTCTTGTCTTGCGGCGACGAGCCACGTCCTGCCCAATCGTTTGCTACACGACCTCGTCCTCGACCTTAGTTTAGCTTGGGGAATGTGAGCGGACCACCTCGACGACCCCAACACACAAACCCACACCGGAAACGACCCTCGCTACATACTATACAGCCCCGCGAGACGAGACACCTGCGCAGTGCTCGCTCGCTCCCTTGGTCGTCGTCGCCATGAACGAATTCCACCCGACCGGCCCCGACGCCTTCTCTCCCCAGATCCCGCGCGATCGAACAGGCAGCATGTCCGTGGGCAACGCTCCCGTGAGCCCTCCGGGCCCGCCGTCCGACCATGGCGGTGCTGCTGTTGACGATGTTTCTCAGAGCCCTGATGGCGATGCTGCGCCGGGCCTGTCCGGAGCTAGCCCGGAGGTCCTCAAGCAAGTATCTGAGGTTCTATCTTCCGATGTACGCCCTACCTGCTTTGACAAGATGGCCCGATGGACCTGTGGATGACATGCTGATGGCATTGATAGATTGGCGTTGTTACTCTCCTGAACCGGCTCAAGCAGAGCATAGCTTCAGCAAAGGTATGCGCCCTCACCAGCTCCCCTCCGATGCCGCCGCAATTCATCTCGCTGACTTCTATCTCGTAGGAATTCGCCTTGTTCCTTAAGAAACGATCTAGCCTCGAGGAAGATCATGCCAACAGTCTCAAGAAGCTTACTCGTACCACCCAAGAGGTGATGCGACGGCCCGACCACCGCCAAGGCACCTTTGCCGGCGCTTACGACGCTATGGCGAGCACCCACGACCGCATGGCCGAGAACGGTGTCGAGTTTGCCAACGAGCTGCACCGAATGCACGATGAGCTGATTGAGCTAGCCAACGTCGCCGAGCGAAGCCGAAAGCAATGGAAGGCTAATGGCCTCTCAGCCGAGAACAAGGTCTCGGAGATGGAGCAGACCATGCGCAAGAGCAAGACCAAGTACGACTCCCTCGCCGAGGACTACGAAAAGGCAAAGATGGGAGAGGCGCGCCAGAGCGGCAAGATGTTTGGCGCCCTCAAGGGTCACAAGTCAGCTGCCCAGCACGAGGAGGATCTGTTAAAGAAGGTTCAGGCGGCCGACCAGACCTACAAGGGGCATGTCCAGGCGCTGCAGACCGAGAAGGCTCAGCTTGTGTCGTCGACACGACCAGAGGCTGTCAAGAATCTACAGGAGTCCATCAGAGAGATTGATGCGGGTGTGGCGATGCAGATGCAGAAGTTTGGTATGTCGGCCAACCCTATCGCACCCTTCACATTGGCTAACCTTCCTCGAGCTTCCTTTAACGAGAAGCTCCTGCTGAGCAACGGCCTCAGTGTCAGCCCTATTCAAGGTCCGGGTCAGAGCAGCACTTCACAGCGTAGCTTGCGGCAGGCTGCTTCGTCAATTGACAACGAGAAGGACTTGAATGACTATGTCGTTGCGCAGGTCAGGAGCATGCCCGCCAACACGGGCGAGATCAAATATGAGCGCAACCCAGTTAGTGTCACCGGCGCCCATCAATAGAGCTCCTGTTTAACGGTTTCGTAGGTGCTTAACCCTCCGGGCTCCAATCATCAGCCAGGCGGTCCTGTCCAACAACCAGCTGTGATACAGCCACCGTCCCAGGGAAGCTTCTCTGGTCCTCAACCTCTGGGGCCTGGCTCCAGGACTAGTACCCTTGGCCTCGGCCCCATTACCGGTGTGACGGGTGGCGATGGTCCCTTCTCACCAACCGACGATCCTCGTCCCTTCTCCCAGCCTCATAACCGGAGCTTCAGCCAAGGGAACGTGCCGACACCGCAGGGAGGACCAGGACCGCAGTTTACTGGCCGAGGACCCAGTCAACCGGCTCCTGGACAACGGTACGGAAATGGAAGTTCCATCAGCTCAACTGGCCCTCCTCAACTGGGTGCTCTTCCTTTCC